AGGCGCACCATCCTGCTTGGCACATTGATGCTGGCACTGCGGTTTGTGTTCAGTAAACCATATTCAGGTATGAGCCACCAGTGGTACATGCCAGCACCAATATGTTAGTGTTGCAACGATGCAATACAAACTGGTTATTTGATTTGACGGAAATGAAATTAGCACCTGTTGCTTTTCAGTGGGAGCCATAGAAAGTCTATAGAAGAATCCAGCTGACTTGAAGTTAGAATCAACAGTCTCAAATACCAATTTTATATATAAGCATATGTAAAATTTTCAAAAGGTGTAATCTGTTTTCCACCAATGCCAGATTAAGTAACATAAAATAGGGCTGGACCGATAGCACAGCGGGTAGGGCTTGCACGCAGCCAACATGGCTGACCCGAGTTCGATTCCTCCGCCCCTCTCGGAGAGCCCGGCAAGCTACCGAGAGTATTCGATATGCCAGACACAGTAACAACAAAGTCTCCAATGGAGACGTTACTGGGCCCGCTCGAGCAAATCGATGATCAACGGGAGGGCCTTTACTTTTACTTTACTAAAATAGGGCTAGGAGATAGAGATCTTTGGTGGTCATGGGCCCCTGAGCATCACTAGGTAGAACTCTGGAAGCTGCTGGCACCTCTGGGGTGGCTTGGGTAATCCCTAATACTACATGCCCCCAAACAGTGACTTGGCTGGTTTTCTATTGGGAACTCTCGGTCTCCTAAATGTACTTGGGAGCCCTCTCCACCACAAAAAAAGAAACATAACATGAGTATTAAAGCCAAAAAATGCATTTTGCTTAGCAAAAAATTATATTTCACTTAGCAGTAAATACTCAGGAATTTAAATTTAATAAGAAATTGTTTCCTTTAGGATCTGGAATTATAGCACAGTGGGTTGGACATTTACCTTGCACGCAGCCAACACTGGGTTTGATCCCAGCATTCCATATGGTCTGCCTGGAGTGATCCCTGAGCACAGAGCCAGGAGTCATCCCTGAGCCCTGCCAGGTATGGGCCAAAAACAAAACAAAGAAAAAAATAGTTTCTTTTAATGTTTAGAACTATAACTTGCATTTTTGGAGGTGTGGGAGGGCAGCTTGGCAGAGTGGTAGGGAAGTAAACAGAAGCCATCTTGTAGCAAGTAAGAGGAACATTCCCCAATAGCTGGCAGCGGTCTGCTAAAATCCGGCATCACACAGCCTGGTAGAGCGTGGCGGGGCGGGGCAAGGTGCTGATAAAGCTTCATTTGGCAATCTCAACCTCTAGTGTTTAGAAATCTAGGCAACAAAAACCAATAAATGCAACTGACCTGATAAACTGGAAAACTAAATTAGGAATATAAATATATTGTGCAGACAATGAATTTCTCCAAGAAACCCTTGTGAAAGAATATGCTATTTCTTTTACGTCTAGCTTTTATAGAGGATCTAAGTCAAGATTTAGTAAAGTTATTTACTAACTTAGTATTTTTTTCTGCCTCCTTTTCTTCATTTATTTAGTGTGTGTGTGTGTGTGTGTGTGTGTGTGTGTGTGTGTGTGTGTGTGTTTTGGGTTCCCCAAGCAATGCCCAGAGGTTCTCAGCAAACTGGGCCAGGAGTTCATGAGGGCCTGAAAATGCAGTGGTGCCTGGGAGCTGCCAGGCTACCCTAGGCCATGCTTAGGAGAGTTGGGATTGAATTGGGTTGAGCCGCATGTAAGTTGTGTGGCTTCATTAATCCCCGTAGTATTTTCTCAGCCCTTTTCTTTGTAAAAGAACAAATGGGCTTGGGCTGTGGCTTGGCAGTCAGCGTGTGCCTCCCACTTCTCAGGCCCTGGATTCAGTCCCTGGAGTGTCTAAAATTAAAAACAAATATATAAATGCACAGAATGACACAGACAAGAACAGATGCTCACGACACAGAATTAGCTGTAATTTTGGAAAGCTCAAAAATAAAAGAGAAGATGTGGGAGGTGGCTTGTACACTTCACATGCGGGGGACTTGGGTTTGGTCCTAGTCACTGTGTGATCTCCTAAGCACTATCAAGAGTGACTCCCAGGTGCTGAGAGCACTGTGGAGGAGTCCTCATCCTCTAGGAGTTTCACCAGGTGGATGCACTCAGCCCTCACCAAAATAAGGAATGCGACAGATAAAATAAAAATCCCTGGTTTATTCCAACATGTGTCCCATTCATTTCTCTCTTCCTTTTTTCTTGGTGAGGGACTCTGCAGATCCCCCAGCAGTGCTCAGGGAATCTGGGTACACTCCCAGCAGTGGTTGGCTTGGTAGTGTTCGGCCTGATGGTGCCCAGGGCCAGTAAGGGCTTCAGATGGCAGTGCTGAGAAGTGGTAGCACATTGCTGGACTACAACCCTTTGAACTCCTCCCTGGTCCCCATACTCTGTCTTTGAAGGAACAACTGCTGTCATGAATTTTGTATATACTCCACTTCATTTTTTTATATTTTCATGTGTGCCAGATTTATCCCAAAATATACATATGCAATAGAAAGTGTTTTTGTGTGCTGAACGCTGTCCATATATATTCTACAACTGATAGCTTCACAGCATGTTTTTTTTTGAATTTTTATTTTAATGAATCACCATGAGATGCAGTTACAGACTTACAAATTTTCATGATTGTGTTCCAGTCAAGAGATGTTCAAGCTATCCCTCCACCAGTGCCTATTCTCCACCCATAATGTTTCCAGTATCCTTTCCCCCTTCTTACCCCCATCCCATCCCTGCCTCTGTGGCAGGCACATTTCCTCTTACTCTCTGTCCTTTTGGGTGTTACGGTTTGCAATACAGGTATCGAGTGGCAATCATGTTGGTCCATAGTCTACCTTCAGCACACATCTACTATCTTGAGAGAGCCCTCCAACCATCATTTAATTAGTACTCCTTTCTCCATCCCAGCTGCCTTTTCCCCCAGAGTAACAGCGTGCTTTTTGAGCTTTATCTGGTATTGATACATAAAACCTTGAATTCATTTTAAATGCTCTGTAATGTGGATGCAGTGTGGCTTGATGTTACAAATGCTGACCATGTGTTTATAGCCCATCTTGTGTCTATTGCTAGAGATTCTAACGGTAGACTCTAGCTGTGAAATTGTGACATTGCTGAGAACTAGGTTGTATATATTTAGGTTTTTTTTTTAAATGTAGGAGTACTGCTATTTATTCAGCCACTGATTAGCTGATTGAATTGTGCATGAACTCCAGTATATTTAGTTTTGACAGTTTATTTCCAAAGTAGGTAATGGCAAAGTAGTTGATCGTTTTTTTTGGGGGGAGGGGGGGGGAGGGGGGTGGTGGGGGAGTCCTCCAAAACAGTTATCAAGGGACTGTGGGGGAATACTCCCAGCTATACTTGGCCAAATGGGCTGGCTGGTTTAATGTCTAGGCCTGCTGGTACTCGGGAATTCGAATTCTGGGCCCAGATCTGTGTGGGAGGGGCCATCTAGTGCTAAGGAGTAGCTCAGCTTCTTTATGAGCATGAAAAACTTGTGCTACCTCGCTCGTCCTCAGTTGACATTCTTTATTTGGCCCCCCAAATGGTACCCAGGAGACTTGGGGGAACTCAGTCAACAGGCCAGTTCTTCAGTGCCAGGGCCCAAGACTGCAGTTCTGGGCTACCCAGACAGTGCTTGGCACCTTCAGGGGCCACACCATGCCATGTTTGGGGACCACTAGGAAAGGTTACGCCTGGTGGTGATGCTGGGAAGGCCAAGTGGGGCTGAGGATCGAACTTGAATTGGTTAATGCCACGGACACACTCTCCGTCTGTGTCCTGCCGCGGTGCCTCTCTTGCCCCCCCCCCCCGCCCGCCCCCCGCACACACACCCTTAGCCCTGCCCTTTCCCACCTCGTTCACTTTTTTACCAGCAGTATTTGAGTATTTCCAACTTATGCTCTTAAAGAGTCTCCGTTTTTGTCTATTCATGGGACTAGCTCACTGCCTTTTCCAGTTAACAGTTGTTGATCACTTTTTAGGTTTTGAAATTTGAAATGGAAAATGTTCAAATGAATGAATCCCTAATACATTGTCTTAATCTTCTGACTAGAGTACTATAGTATTCCCATAATTAGTATTTTGCTTATCACTAATACCTGAGCTAAGTTTTTGTGAAGGACAGGGACACCTGGTGGTTTGGGGATGCACCCATCAGAGCTTAGGGGTTCCTCCTGGTTCTGTCATTGGGGGTTGCTCCAGGGACCATGTGGTGCCAGGCACCCACACACCAACTGTGTGCTCCAGCAGACCCTTGAACTATCTTCTTAGGCCCTGAGCACAAGATTTAAATGAAAAATATTCATACTGCAGGGCCTGTAAAGTAATAATAGGTGCTTGTACCTATTATTACTTTACACTAAAAGGTCTTCATGCTGTTTTAGTTATTTTTGAATCTTTCCTTATTCAAACTTTCTAGTGATTCTTCCCACTTTTTTAGATAAAACATGAGTTTATAGAAATACAACATTGCCATCACAGGATAATTCCTTATCTCCTCCTCTGACCGAATATCTGTGGATATAAGGGTGGTTTTCCTTGAGTGAGAGCAAGCCAGGTTGTGTGGTGGCATTTGCCTTGCTTCAGTATCTACTTTTGTTGCTTAGCAGTGTGGCAAATGTGTTTCAGTAAATATCACCCACTTTCAGAGAATCGGACCTATAGATACGGTGTGTGTATGGGAGGGAGATGGTGTTCCCTGTTTTAGCAAAATGCCTATGGAAAAAGCGATATAAAGAATCTGTTAAAGAATCAATACATATTCATTCAGAGATCATAACTTGCCTTGTTACGGAGGAGATGGTCATGAAATGACTCTATCCTAGAAAACTCCAGAAAATTGAGGCGGTCTGATAGTATAGAGACTGTGCTGATTGAGAAGTACCAAAACCATGTGATCATTAATGCTTTCTTAAGGTTTGTAACCTTTTTCATAAAATTACTATTGTTCAGAAGTTTTTTTTCTTGCCCTTAAAAACTTAGGATGCACACTTTATCTTTTTTTTTTTTTAAATCTCGTTTCAGTGTGACAAAATTAGACAAGAACGTGATGAAGCTGTTAAGAAACTGGAGGAATTTCAGAAAAGTAAGTAAGAAGTATAGTGAAATTGTTATAACACCCTTCCTGCATGTGGAGATTATGTGGGTAGGCAGGGACTCTATGTTTAGTTCCTTTCCTCCAAGCGAGAAAGCATGAAGCATTCCTGTCTGATGACTGCTATTGTACTGTTGTTCTGGGTGAGGAGGGATCTCCTCAGTGGTCCTTGCGGCTACCAGGGCTGGAGCCAACAGTGGTTGGAGACTTGGAACTTTGGGTATACCAGGTACATGGAGTTCCAGTCTTTTGAGCTATATCCCTGGCCCTGAATGTTATTCTCTTTTTTTCTATTCAGAACAGTAAAGAAGGGCAAAATGGTCTGTAATCTTTGCTCTCTCTCTCTTTTTTTTTCTTTTTGGGTCACACCTGGCAGTGCACAGGGGTTATTCCTGGCTCTGCACTCAGGAATTACTCCTGGTGGCACTCAGGGGACCATATAAGATGCTGGGAATCAAACTCAGGTCAAAGACAGCGTTATTAATAATGCCTCGTTCTTGATCGCTTCACTGTGCCATAAATCTTTCTGCAAAACACAGTTTTACTTTGCATTTGTTTTTGTAGCTTGGTTTCTTCAGCAGGCAGAATATTAGTGGTCACTTTTGCATGCTTCTAGAGATGTATATCAGCTTTAATTGTTGCTCATAGTATTCTACAATATGATAATATGATAAATATTATTTAAACATCCCTTCAGTGATCACTGTCACTGTCACTGTCCTCCCATTGTTCATCAATTTGCTTGAGCGGGCCCAGTAACGTCTCCATTGTGACAATTGTTACTGCGTTTGGCATATCAAATATGTCACAGGTAGCTTGCCAGGCTTTGCCGTGCAGGCGAGATACTCTTGGTAGCTTGCTGGGCTCTCCGAGAGGGGCTCAGGAATTGAACTCAGGTTGGCCATGTTGGCTGCGTGCAAGGCAAATGCCCTACCCGCTGTGCTATCGCTCCAGTCCCCCTTCAGTGATAGATGAATTATTTCTGGTTATAAATATTATTATTTATTAATAATATTATTGATAATGAAATAATATTTTATTATTTGTAATGAATTATTATAAATAATATCATGGTAAGTATTCCTATCCATGTATATTTAAGGTGATCCTATTAATTCCTCAGGTTAAGATTTATAGAACTTTAACTTTTTTTTCTGCCACACCAAGCAGTGCTCAGGGATTACTCCTGGCTTTGCACTCAGGAATCACTCCTGATGGGCTCAGGGGAGCATATGGGAGGCCGGAAATTGAGCCCAGGTCAGCCCAGGTCAGTGCCAGACAAGCACTCTACCTGGCGTACTACCTCTCCAGCCCTTAAACACCTGGCGGTGCTTAGGGCTTACTCCTGCTTCTGCACTCACAGAGTACTCCTGGAGAGCTTGGGGGACCATATGGGTTCCTGGGGACCAAACTCAGGTTGGACATGTGCAAGGCAAGTGCCTAACCACTGTACTGTTGTTCCAGCTCAGAAACAAACATTTTTAATAGATTTAATAGATCTCCTTTATAAACAATATATAATAAAATGCATATTCTTATGCAGGTTGTATAATCTCAGATTTTTGGTTTTGGGGTTTTGTTTGGGGGGGGGCAGGGGAACTGGATCATATACCCTGTGCTCAGGGCTCACTGCTGGCTCTGTGGTGAGGGGTCACTCCTGGCAATGTTTAGGGTACCATATGTGGTGCCGAGGAAAGAACCAGGGTCAGCCCTGTGTACAGTAAAACCCTTATCCTTGTACCGAACTCTGGCCCTGCAATACTACTTTTTAAAGTGATATAAACCTATTACTTCTTCTTCCTCTAAAATAGAATGTATCTGAAATTATGAGGAGGATTAGATGAAATATTTCATGGAAGAAAGGCCAGACAGGGAGCCGGCCCTAGCCCTTGGAAGCAATGTCTGTCTTCATCATTCTACAGATGATGTATCAGTCAGGCTGTTTGATTGTATTATAAAGTGTTGACTTGGTAATTATACAACAAAGCATTTTATTCTCGTTGAAGGTAAAACAGCCATAAAAGCAGCAGTAGAGTTAAATTTCAATAGCCACTTTATTTCCAGTGACTGGCTTTAACAAAGAAAATCTCAGGGGGATATTGTCGACATTACCTGTCTTTGGAGGCCACTATGGTATGACAGAAAGATATGGAAATGTATAAATTCTCGTAGGACTTTCTTCTTCTCTAATGCAGGATTAATGAAATGTTTTACACTCGAGCTGACAACGAGTCCCATCTATAAGTTACACTATTCACATTGTTAGCAGTTTCTATGCTTGAATTAATTCCTGATAGTCAATTGGCACATTGAGTGCAATGCAGTGTGTGGGAAAAGTTTTGGTTCTTTTGGGTGGATTTATCAGAGGGTTCTGGTGGGTACCAGGGATCTTTTTTTCCTCCTTGCATTATGTGAAAATGGAAGCAAGTTCACTCAAGTCAGCTTAGCTATTAAATTACATATAAACTTTGCCTTTTAGCTCTCATTCTCTTGTTCTTTTCTCTGTCTCTTTCTCTAAATACTTCTGATAATTTTAAAACTTACAATTTTCCTTATGAGTAACTCAAATAAAAAAACTGAAAGAATAAATAAGAAGTTTATTCTCAGAATCTTTATTGTAGTCATTTAATTTTTCAGGTGGCAGAGTGCTAAGTAGCTCTTTATTTTGTTTTGAATTCAAATAGGGGACAAAGGCAATGCTAAATATTTGTTCAAAAACACAGAGCTTGTCTTTAAACAAAAGGTAGAATTTTAAATTTATGAGGGAATGAGACAGTTAATTATCATAAGTATCCTTACCATTCTGTATGAATTTGTGTAACTTGAGTATTTTCTGCACTAATAAAACTGTGATAAATGACTCTTATTGACTGAGGAGTAAACGAGCAAATGAATATAAAAATTAATCAGCACATTATAGTAAGTACTCAAAACTTGTTTACTTGCTGCTACTACCATTTCCTGATGATACCCTCAGCATTTGACTACCCTTTAGATCATTTACCTTCAGTGAATTTCTTTCTGGGCACCAGTCTCCATATTTGGACCAAGCAGGGGAAAAGTTTCCGTTGATGCACAGTCAAAATTTTTGTCCATCAGAACATCTGTAATAAAGGGGGTTAAGTGAGGTTTAGGAAACGCTGTGTAAAACTGCAGGAAGGACTCCTCTCTCCTTAGCTCTGTGTGCTCCTTCTAGCTGGTCTTAGCTTCCACGACATTGTTGGCCTCTGACAGCTCTCCCTGAGCCTCTCTCCTACTTTTTCTGCACAAAGAACATCCCTACATTCCTTAGAACAGAACAGCCACATTCCCTAGAAAGACAGATTTTAGTGCAAGTAAAAGTAATACAGTTTTCATGTCTTTCCACCTGCCAGCTGTCATGGTGGGTTGGGTTTGGTTTTAACCACTCAAAAACCTTTCGAGGTAATCTGATGTTGAGAGTAACTTAAGATATGTTCACCATGTATACACTTATCTTATATCTGAATACTATTGAGAGTTGGCTAGATGAGAGGAGTTTTGCTCAGACAGCAACTCATTGATGGTGTTACCTAATTTGGCCAGTGCAGAGGGTTGAATCATACCTAGTAGTATTCAGGGGCTGTTTCTGTCTCTGTGCTTAGGAATGAGCCCTGGAAATGCTCAGGGGATTATATGCAGCATTAGGGATCCAACTCAGGTTGGCTACATGCAAGATAAGCGCCTTACTCTCTGTACTATCTCCTTGCCCCCACCCCCACCCCCTTCGAGGGTTGTTTTACTTATTTGGCCACGTCTGGTGGTACCCAGGAGTAAGAACCTGGCCGGCTCTGTGCTCAAGAATCACTCCTGGTGGTGCTTGGGGGATGTATGTAGTTATGAGAATTGAGCCAGAGTCAACCACGTGCGTGGCAAGAACCTTAACCCCTGTACCTCAGGTTCCAGTGGTGTCAGCTTTGAATGTGGTAAGTTAAAAAAGGAACATAGAAATTGGAGTAAAGTATATTTGCCTAGGGGTTAGCAGTTAGAAACCTATAATTTGGGATACTGTTACATCTCTGGGCCTTAGTATTCTCAATTATGAAATTGTTATGGTAATGCCTTCCTCATAAAATTGTGAGGATTTGTGAGGACACCTGAAAAGGGTTTACTGCAAGGTTAGACACATAATAGGTTCAATAAATGGTGTGTGGTGGTTTCTAAGGTAGTTTTATACTATAGGGAACTTTCTTGTAAACAAGCACAGATAGAATTGGGCCTTATATATATTTCCAGTGATCCCAGTGAACTCAAGGACTGACTTTGCACATAGCAGTGCTAGGTGCAAGAAGACAAAATTTCTGCCCTAAATTTCTAGTTTAAATGTCCTAGTAAATTTCTAGGAAAATTTATGCTTCATATTTCTAGTTGAAGATAGATGACAAACAAAGTAAGTTTAAATGCCAATTCTTGGGGATGGGGGAGGGGAGGATACTGGGGACATTGGTGGTGGAAAATGTGTACTGGTGGAGGGATGGGTGTTCGATCATTGTATGACTGAAACTCACACATGAAAGCTTTGTAACTGTATCTCATGGTGATTCAATAAAGAAAGTTAAAAAATAAAAAATGCCTAATTCTTCTACAATGTAATGCATGATGGCAAGTATTTAAGAGTACTTGAGGTCATAAAAGAGGAGAGACAAATATTGCTGCTCAACTACAATGAAAGAAGCAATATTTGATGTACTTCAGCTTGTATTTATGAGTTATCAGTTACAAAAAAAACTCATTATGGCAAATTTCAAGCTATACAAAAGTGAAAAAGAGAAAAATGAACTCCCATATACCATTACCTCAACTGTTATCAACTCATGCGTCGTTTCTACGTTGTCTGTATCTCCATACACTCACTAATCTCAGATTATTTTGAACAAATTCCAATCATCATGTGATTTATCTGTAAATATTTCAGCATATATTTCTAAGATATTAGGATTCATTTTTTAAAAAAAACTGCAGTAATAGGGGCTCTTTATTTGAAGCTCATTCCCCCCCTACCCCGCTCCCAACCTTCATGTTACCGTAGGAATAGTGTGTTTGTAGGTAGGCTGTGGTCATGCGTTGTGGATAATATGTATGAGATAAGCTCAAATTCAGCACAGTAGGCAAATAACCAAAAAAAGTCTTTAAAAAATATTTATCCTTTCTTAAACCAAGTTGTAGAAAGCAAATCATTTTACAACGCTGTTTCAGCATATCTGATTGTGGGGGGTGGGTCGTAAGCTCTAAACAATAATTGTGCATCTTCTATCGAAACAATCTATCTAGTCAAAGTAGATAGAGTATTAACTAGAACTCATCTGCCTCACAAGAATTGGGAGGGGTGGGGGGAGGTGGGGGTCTATTGGGGTTCGGGGTTAAAAATAAGTATTGGTAAAGGGAAATGTGTTTGATATTTACATGACTGAGACCTAAACCCGAAAGCTCTGTAACTTTTCCCACAGTGATTCAATAAATAAATAAAAAAAAATATTTATCCTTTTAAAGATGCAAGATATTAATTTTTCTCTTTTATGTTATTTGCCCCAACTTTGGTTTTGTAAGTGGAATAAAGCTTTATATATATATATATATATATATATATAAATCTTTTGAAATTTGTAAATATTTTAAAATATTATTCTTGGTCCTAGAAAGTCATTAGGTTTCTATGCTACTAATTTTATTATTGAGAGACTTTTTAAAGTAAAAATTGAAGTACAATTTTCCATTTCTACTGTTCACTCTTAGAGGAAGAAATAAAAATCTTCCATGATGAAATATACCCTGTCAGAATTGAAGAAAATGTGGACCCAGGCTACCTGGCTAAGTTTATCAAGTTAAATTACAGAGCAGCCTTTTTCATGATGCTTAGAAAAATAAGTGTTTTTTCTCTGTAATTCTTTTTGCTGAGGCCTAAATATTACAACTGGAATGATTTTTCTTACGCTTCTACGTGCAAGAAATGTTACTGAATAAAAAGTCAAATTCCAAATGAAAAATGCATAGTGTTTATGTTTTTGTTATGATGGTGGAAATGCCAGATTGTGGCAGAAGATGTCAAGTAGTTAAGGCTAAAAATTCAAAGTAATATTTGATGTTGTAAAAATTGTATAGGTTTCTTTTCTCTTTCCTTCACATTTTTGAAGAACCTACCTTGTAAACATAGTGATAAAATGCCAGGAATATTAGGATTTTAAGGAAATAATAGAGCCTATTATTTAAACTACAATATAAAAGGCAATTATATTGATGAAGAGCTACATGGGCTTTGTGTATGTGAATAAACTTGGCCTGTGTTCAGCTTCTATTTGTTCTTCTGGCATAAACACATATTGTGTGTGATTCCAGTTTAATGGGGACCCGTTTGTATGCCAAGCAGCTGCATTTTAGGACCTATTGCGTGATTTCATAGCTCTCTGAAAATTGGTTCTATTCAGAACAAGAGATAGAAGAGGAGAAGGGGGGTGGTGTGGAGGGGTAGGGGGGGGGAGCTTCAACACACAATCATTTCTTTTCAATTGGAGCCAGAAAGGTTGATGACAACATGACCATTGTGTTATAATGATAAGACCACTAAGGCATCTGTACCTCTCATCAAGGCTTTCACACAACAGCAGATACAATTTAATTCACTGCTCTGTCAGCAGTGCTGATACCATTATGCCGTCTGTCTCCACAGTTATAATCACTGTCCTCTGAGAAATGCAGTTGAAATGATCTTGAGCAGTCAAAGAAACTCTCAATTAAGGCTGCCACTTCCAATGTGTCAGATTGTGTCTTATGCACTTGGTACAATTTTCACTTCCAATCCTGTTTATTTACAATGTCTACCAGTAATTACGCTTAACGTGTCATTTAGTGAGGGGGGCCCCTGCCAAGCCGATTGTTGGGTGCTGCTGTACCATTGAGTGGGAGTTTCTCGAAGTCAATGCCATCAGCAGCTTTTAGGCCCTGATGGGATGCAGTAGTAATGTTGATAATGCAAGTATCGTGCTCATCAAGTCATAATTAGATGCCACTCAAATGTGCCACTTGTAATAACAGTGTTGATTCATGTTTTTCTCGGTGACTGCAACTACTAATTAGTTAAGTGGTTTTTGGTTGGCCTGCATTTGCTGCAGATTATTATTACCCCTGAAAAAATGTCAAGGTTAGAGATGTTTCTGGCCATTTAGTGCTGCTTTATGAATTTGAATATTAACATAATAAGAACTTTGGACAAACTTAGGAAGTAATACATATTTTTTTGTATTTAATTTGGAGAGAAATTTTTCCCCTGAGCTTAATCATAATTGCAGGTTAATTAAGTTTAAATGAAGCAAAAGTAATCTCTCTTTGTGTTATGTGAGCCCAGTGCTTTTTTGCTTAACTTTGTTAGATTTGGGTGTCCTTTAATTTTCTTTATTTTTTTTAACATAAAAAAGTCGGTAATTTTTCTTGTCTACCGTTAAGTTGTTTTCCCCCCAGATTTTTGTTTTTTGTTTTTTGGGTTTTGTTTTTTGGGCCATACCTGGGGGTTCTTAGGGCTTTCTCCTGGCTCTGTGGTCAGGAATCACTCCTGATATGGCTTAGGGATGCCAGGGATCAAACCCGGGTTGGCTGCATGCAAGGTAAATGCTCTGTCTGCTGTACCATCACTCCAGTCCCTGAACATTTTTTTTTTCTTCTTTAAACAGTATATATTTTTTTATTAGTTTATAGGGCTGGAGCGATAGCACAGCGGGTAGGGCGTCTGCCTTGCACACAGCCAACATGGCCGACCCGAGTTCGATTCCTCCGCCCCTCTCGGAGAGCCCGGCAAGCTACCGAGAGTATTCGATATGCCAGACACAGTAACAACAAAGTCTCCAATGGAGACGTTACTGGGCCTGCTCGAGCAAATCGACGATCAATGGGAGGACCTTTATATTATAGGAATACGTTTTTCTTTTTTCTTTTTTCCTTTTTGTTTTTTGGGTCACACCCAGCGATGCTTAGGGATTACTCCTGGCAGTGCTTGGGGGACCATATGGGATGTCGGGGATTGAATCTAGGTTGGCCTCATGCAAGGCAAATGCCCTTCCCACTGTACTATTGTTCCAGCCCCTATTATATTTCATATTACAAAAGCAATGCAGTAGAAGGATCTTCTGATATCTTAATATCAGAAATAACACAAACAGAACTATATATAAATAAAACATTTTCTTTTAACTAAAAATGTGGGTAAAATAAATTGCAGTTTTCCTTTTTACCCCATCTTTTAGTGGTCCTGGGCATCAAACTCAGGGCCTCACATATTCAAGCAGTAGTCTCCTACTGAGCAACATTGCTGATCCCAGAATTGACATTTTTCTTACTTGATCTTCTAAGTATAATTCAAGTTTTATATTACCTCCTCTAAATCTCCATTTATATAAAGCAGTTGTCAAAAAAAACCTCCAAAATTAACATTTTCAAGCATTGCTAAAACATTAAGAAAAAATTTATTTTTCTTTTAGTCTCCTGATAGTTTGTGACGCCAGAAGAAATTTACTAGCATCTGCTTTTTTGTTTGGGGGTCACACCTGGCTATATTCAGGACTTATTCCTGGCTCTGTGTTCAGGGATCACTCCTGGTGGTCTTGGGGGATCATATGTGGTGCTGGGGTCTTCTGCATTCAAGGCAAACACCCTACTTGCTGTGCTATCTCTCCAGCATCTACTTTCATCATCGTGTAGTCCATAAGTCTATTGCTATACTCTTCTGTCCTGGAGTTTATTACAACAAAGTGTCATAATTTAATGGCACTATTGAAATATTTAATTTATTATTTATTTTCTTTTTGGGTCACACCCGGTGATGAACAGGGGTTACTCCCAGCTCTGCACTCAGGAATTACTTCTGGTGGTGCTTGGAGGACCATATGGGATGCTGGGAATCAAACCCAGGTCTGCCGCATGCAAGGCAAACGCCCTACCCGCTGTGCTATCACAGCCCCACAATATTTACTTTAATTAAGCTATTTCATTGTACGCCAGTTGTGAAATGAAGAGATTTTTTAAAAAAATTTCTCACTAGCTAATTTTTCCTGTTAGATTCGTGTGTTATGTACTATGAAAAGGAAGCCTATTTGCTACTTTTTATTTGTGAGAGTTTCTTCCATTTAGATGACCAGTCTGTGGTTATGTATATAGCTACACAGAAAATAGAAACTTAAACCTCCAAACTCTTTTAAAATGTACATAATAACCATAAAAATTCTCCGTTGTGTTCATTTTCTTTTGTACATTCAAATCTTAACTAGGATTTTATTCGGGCAGCAACTTTCCATGATGGCTAAAGTGGCTAGCTAAAGAATAGAAGTATTCTTAGTCATGGGACAGGCAAGATGTGTGGGCTTCTGGAATAGCTGAGTAATCTTTGAATGCTTATACTTTCCCTCCCTCCCCTTCATTCCTAGTTTCTCACATGGTCATAGAGGAAGTCAATTTTATGCAGAACCATCTTGAAATAGAGAAGACGTGTCGAGAAAGTGCTGAAGCTCTGGCAACAAAGGTGAGAATATTCCAATCAAAAAATTCTACCTGAGCTTTTTAATTGCAAACTTGCTTTCCTAAACCATGGCTTTTCTCCTTTTTTTCACTTTTCTTGTTCTCGAATAATCTGTTCTACTCCTGTGAGGACAGTCTTATAAGTCCTCAGAATCCTGAAATGTGATTTTGGAAATGTCCATCTGAATGCGTAGGTGATTTTGATTGTAAAAGAAGTTTTTGTGTGTGTAGCTTTTTGCATTTTGAGCTTCTTTGCCGATGAACAAAAAATGGTCGCAAAGTACTTTGTTGAACTGAGCATTCCATATGCCTGTGTATTTGGTTAAAATGGTAACCAAATTTAAAACTAACTTGGCATAACATAAAAAGAGCAATGAATGTTTCATGTTCGAATCAGATGAAAAAGTTATCATGGAGCCTTACATTTCAGGTGATTATTTGTGAAAGCAAAGTGAGGGCATGTTAAGGTGACCTCCAGTGCTTCGCTGATTGCTTCTGGCTGATGAATTTACCAAGTGTGTAATTTTCTATATTCTATCTCATCAGAAATACATTATTATTAAAGAATTTTTTTTATCTCTGTCTTAGTATTTTGGGTTGGGTAAAATGCATCTGAACCACTTCATCAGAAAATGGATTACAGCAATTTTCAACCAAATTTCATTAGTAGTGCTGGGTGTGTTTCCTTCCCCTCTCCTCCATCACCTGCCTGCAAAGTGTTTCTTTGATTCGGACTGAAATTCTACAGATATCTCTCGCATCTTCATCTCTGTCTCTCTCATTTGTATGCATTAGCAGCGTGCTTTCGAGGGACCTTTGCTTAATTGTCTTCATAATGAAACTCCATTGGAGTTCATAAGATAGTTCTAAAGCTATAAATATTTGTGTGTTACTTCTTTTCTATTATTTGTCTGAGGAAAACATAGCCTCCATCCTTTCTGTGGCCCCCTCACTCGAGTTTACTGCTCCACATTATTGTCTTTTTTCTTATTTGAGGACAAGAATAAACATATATGTGGAGCATATTAGCTGCTTTGAGTCTCGTAACAGCTAAAGATAGTGTCTATGTGTTCTCTTATTATTAACAAGTCTCTCTCTCCCTTTTTCTCCTTCCTTTCTTTCTTTCTTTCTTTCTTTCTTTCTTTCTTTCTTTCTTTCTTTCTTTCTTTCCTTCCTTCCTTCCTTCCTTCTTTCTTTCTCTCTCTCTCTTTTTTTTGCTTTTTGGGTCACACCTGGCAATGCTCAGGGGTTACCCCAGGCTCTGCATTCAGGAATTATCCTGGTAGTGCTTGGGGACCATATGAGATGCCAGGGATTGAGCCCAGGTCAGCTACATGTAAGGCAAACGCCCTCCCTACTGTACTGTCGCTCCAACCCCTCTTTTTATTTGTTTCTTTCCCTCCTTCCCTTCCCTTCCCCTTCCTCTTCCCCTTCCCCTTCCCCTTCCCCTTCTCCCTCCCTCCCTCCCTCCCTCCCTCCCTCCCTCCCTCCCTCCCTTCCTTCCTTCCATCCTTCCTTCCTTCCTTGTTTTTGGGCCATGCCCAGAAGTGCCCTGGTTCTCTGCTCAAGGATCAATAGCTCCTGCTAGGCTTGGGGAACCATATGTGATGCTGGAGATCAAACCTGGGTTAGCTGCATGCAAGGCAAATGCAACCAATTATACTATTGCTCCGGCAATACTAGCAAGTATTTCTGTTGCCATAATACAATTATAAGCTTTTGCTAATCCTGAAGTGTAATAGTTTGGGAGTCAGTCTATAAAGGAATTATTCCTATCTTTTTTTGGGCATGTATGACTCTGGACACATTCATTTTATTCTTTGGACTGCCTTTTTTTATTGCCTTATCTTAAATCCCTGGGTGGGCTTAAGTTAGAAATGAGGTAAGAATAGGGTGAATCTTTCTTTGACTGTGATTCACTTTAATCATTGGCACATGTCTGGCCCTTCATACAACAGGTAGGTCATGCACAAGCAAGGCAACCTAGTCCCTGATACCCCAGCCCTTCCAGGAGTGATCCCTGAGCAAAGAGCCAAGAGCAAACCCTAAGCACTGTCAGGTGTGGCCCAAAATACAAATATATATATATATATACATATATATATTTGATATTTCCTTTTTCTGTTGAGGTGACTTTGAGCAAGAGATATCATCTCTGTGAGTCACAGTATTAGTGGACCAGGGTTGATTTTTTAAATTTTTTTATTTTCAGGGTTGATTTTTAAATTTTATTTAATTCTTTAATGGAATCACCATGATATACACAGTTACAAAGTTGTTCATAATTAAGTTTCTGTCATACAATGTTCAAACACCCATCTCTTCACTAATGTACATTGCCTGACACCAGTGCCCCCAGTTTCCCTCCCTCCAACTCCTCCCCTCCCCTGCCCAACTCTATAGCCTACCTGTATTGGAGACATTTTTCTTCTCTCTCTCTCTCTCTCTCTCTCTCTCTCTCTCTCTTTCTCTTTCATTTGCAGTATTGTTACTGAAAGGTTATCATGAATATCACTTTACCTCCTTTCAGCACTCAATTCTTATCCAGAGTGATCATGTCCAACTACCATTGTCATAGTGGCCCCTTCTCTGTCCTAACTGTGGCAAGCTTCCAACTGTGGGCCAATCTTCCTAGCCCTTGTTTCTACTGTCTTTGGGTATTCTGTCACTGTCTCACTGTCACTGTCCTCCCGTTGTTCATCGATTTGCTGGAGCGGGACCAGTTACTTCTCCATTGGAGACTTTGTTGTTACTGTGTTTGGCATATCGAATATATCACTCACATATTATGTGTTTCTTTTTTTAATATCTTGCAACTGAATGCTATCATTCTATATTTGTCCTGTCCCTCTGATTTCACTCAGCATGGTACTCCCCATTTCTATTTGTGTAGAAGCAAATTTCATGACTTCATTTTTCCTAACAGCGGCACCGTGTTCCATTATGTAGATGTACCATTGTTTCTTTATTTCTTAAGAATATTCAGGCCCCCACAGAGTGTGACCTAGGCACGTGCATGTTGAGAAAGCCGCCAGATGACTCTTACACTCATCCCTGGTTACGAACTGCTCAGTTGCCTGATCCTTAAGATCACATTTCCAAGTTGGTCTTTCAGTTGGATTCTTAACTTAGAGTTTGTCACTTATAAGATGCCTTTTCCCATTTAGAAAATGGGAATATGATTGTTTGCCACCGTCCTGTGGTCACAGTTACCTGGGAGCAATGGTCCATTTGAACCCCGTCTAAGATTGATATTCATAGACATAAACACAAGCTCTTGATGAAACCAAGATGTGGGCCATTGACTTGTGGTCAATGGACAAATTTATTAAGGAAAACAGTGATTATATAGAGGTAAAAGCGGCCATGTGGTAAGGGGTCAAAGGGAAGATGGAAGGAAGCATGACAACATACTCTTTCAAAGGGACACAGACTCAGTCTCCGAGCTATCCACACAGACAATGCTTATTCTCCTCAAAGGTTTCCAAAGACAATCAGGAAGGTTTCAAAGGCAGCCGTGTCCACACCTTTCAGCCAAAGGTGAATTATTAATCTGCACTATTCTCTGGGGAGCGTTAGGTTCCCTGGTATCAGTCCTTTGCCATTGTCTGGACTTAGTATCTGATCCCTGGAGTGATCTCACAGGTTACTCAGCCCAGGTAGCTCTGGAGCTGTGCCAGCAAGAACTCCAGCAATTGGTTTTCAAGGCTTTCTTACAACTCAGGGGGCTTGGATTAAAACACCAAAAAGCCTTCTTTTACTTTATAGATGAGTTTATTGAATATGGATTAGGTTACAGCTTTGGATGCAAAGTCTGGAAGCTTCAGTATTTGTATGAACAATAAGTTATAATGGCACACCCCAGCTTGGATCTCAGTTGTCATGTTGACAGTAGGCTCTTACTTTCTAAGCTGTTTTATGTAAATAATTTTTCCAAATCTGTATTCCCAAATTCATGATAAATGAACTATTTGATTCTTTTGAGGGGAGGGCCTCCCCACCAGTACTCTGGGGCTACTCCAACTGATAGTCTGCTCAAAAATAGGGGTGCTGCTAAGATCTGGTGGGGCTGGGGGTCATTAGGATCACTTTGGAGGGTGGGCATGGCCTGCTTTCTGCCTCTTTAGGTCACACCCAGTCTCAAGTGCTTAATTCTCATGATGTTGTTTAACTGCTAGTCTAGACTTCAAGGCTGGAAATTTTGCTAAAATGTGTAAATTACACAGAAAACATACAGACCTGTTACTTAAATCATATTATACATACACACTCACATATATGTGAGTGTGTGTGTATAACTTATTTATTTTGAACTTATAAATATTTATTAAGCTGTTCCCAGTATAAAAACTATTTACATTTAATATAATAGAATACTATGTTATTAAAAGATTATAAAAGATTTTTGTGCAGTGATTTAGAAGGGTTCTAAGAAACAAGTAACACACCATTAACCCATGACTTGATAAGTGATTACTGCACTGAGATTGCTTTAACTATGTTTTGTGAACTCAGTGTTCCAAAAATATATTGATATGGTCCTAAGATATCATGCGTGTAAATTTTTTTATATGAAAATGAGGTTCAGAGAGGACTTGAAAATTTTTTCCTGGCTTTTCTTTTAAGATAGTATAATTTTGTTAAACAAGGTAGTTTAGTTACAGTCAGATAATACCTAGAAGATTTTGGTGCTTGTTTTGATAAAGGTATTAAATTAAAACTGTCACTTATCAGGTTATTTAGTAGTATGGTGATGGTGATCTGGTAAGTAGTGTATTATGCACTACATGGAAAAAATTAACATCTTGGGTTTTTATAAATGTCCTGGAGGAAGAAAACAATGTATGCATAGTTTAACCCAGTTTAAGAAAACTCACTGATAAATGATTTCCAAAGGAAAAGTAAACATATAAACTAAACCTCTTTGGTTATTATTTGTCAACATTTACTGAATTTTTTAACTTACCAACATTACATTACTCACTATATCAAGATTTTATGTATAAGATCTCACTTTATCTTCACATTATCAGATAATGACTATTAGCTGGTAAGAAAGCTGCAACATTTAAATATTAGATTAGTCCTAGAGGCAGAGACTGAATTGGATTGCAGGACTAGCTTCTTAGCTTTGCTATCCTGATGTTATGTAAATGTACCATAAAGCCCTGCATTGCTCGCTATCAGTGATTCTTAATATTGATGTCCATTAGAATTCTGGGAAAATAAACCAACCCAAACTGCACCCCACTGCCTGGTTTTGGACTCACAGTCAAGAATTTTATTCTAGTGTAGGCCTGGTGATTGGGATTCTCTAGGTCCCTAGAGATTCTGAGATGAAGACTTATGAACCATTTGTTAAATATCAGGAAGGGGAATGACAAATTAAGTTGGGCATTTTCACTTTTTTTCTTCAAATATTTTCTCCTGCCCATGAGGAAAGATGGTAGTATTTGAGAACCCCGGTCTTCTAGCACTACTCTTAGGATTCATGGCTCAGAGACTTAGTTAAGGCTTGTTACTTGGGCTTTCTATCTTGAGGGGCTGGAACATCTTGTGTCTTATCCCTGATCTCCTGAAGTCCTAGAGGGAGCCCAAGCTAAAGATATCTGATTCCCTGAATGCATGTTTCCAGGTTTGCCAGGGGAAATCCATGGACTTATGGCAATTTCTAAGAGTTTGTGCATGAATTCCCAGAGAGATCAAAGTGTTTGGAATATATTTGCGTTTTATACTGTTGAATTAAAAATCAGATCTCCTAGATTAAATGAACTGGGGCTCTCCCTTAGAGAACCCTGAGGTGAAAGTCAGATAAGTTCCATTAAATGCCTTACTCCTGGTATAAGATTTACGCCTGGGAAGGGCAGTTGGCATGCCACTGAATCCTCTCTCTGCCTTATTTGCTTTTCAATGTCAGAACTTCATTCGAAACTTTTTATGATAACCAGTGGCTCATAGTAAGGAAATGTGTGTGTACTTTTGTATCTTTTGGTTTGTATTAGAGAAATGAACCTATTAAATATGTCCATGTACTTAACAGAGGGAAGACCTTTTGTTTTATTAATGTTGAGAAAACATAAGAAAAGCATATTTTTCCTCTGTGGTCTTTGGACCTGATTAATCTTTGCGTGTGCTTTGTTACTAACATTTATAGATGCATAAACTCCCAAATAAATAATATATTAGTGCATGAGGGTTCCTTTGCTCTGAATTAGAACTTGTTTTATAAAGGCAATATAAATATATCTTAAAAATATCTCTGATTAGGTATTATTAGAACCTGATGTCCAGTTATTAGAAATACATGCTAAACTATGTCAGGCAGGAAAAGAAAATATTGAAGTTTGTTGAGAGAGGGCTATTCAACCCAAGAACTGGGAGCTACTCCATGATGGACTAGCATCCTTTGGGAACGCCTATATGTGCTGTTCTTTTCTGCCTCTCTACATATCTCCTTTATTTTGACTTTGCCACAGACTGTCTTTCTCTATTCCTCCATTCAGTATTAAAGTGTGGTTGCCAGCAACTTTTCTACATACAGAAACAGGGACAGAAACTCAGCTCTGTTCCCACTACCAAATTTCCAGAACCTGGACCCACTTCGCCCAAATTGGGTCACGTGCCTGGTCCCTGGGCATTATAATAACTATGGCCTAAGTAATGGGATATACTTCAGAGAAATGTTGATTTTCTCATGGGGATCGTGTAAGGAATGAAGAGAAGTAAGTGTCCCAAAAAGAGAGACTCTGAACAAATAAATATTTTAAAGGTATTCACAGCATATCAGCAAACAAAATACTTGCTTGATATATACTTGCTTTATTAATGACTAAATAAATGGAAATGAGATTTAATCTATGTTGGTGTTTTATCTTAATTTGTGTATTTCTTATCAGCTCTAACTAGCATTTTCGTGTGTTCTTGGCTGTAATTGAGGCATAAGGTCCTACTTAAAGTAGTAAGCTTAATATTAAAAGTGTAAATAAAACCTTATGATTATTACTTCATGCTGTGAATGTGGATGATTATGTCAGACAAAAATATCCTTAATTTTTCTATTGTTTAAAAATTTAAGATGCTCATTTTACTGCTGTTAAAATAACGGCTTTTATATTTTGCCTTAGCTAAATAAAGAAAATAAAGCCTTGAAAAGAATCAGCATGTTGTATATGGCCAAGCTGGGACCAGATGTAATAACTGAAGAGATCAACATTGATGATGAAGATTCAACCACAGACTCAGAAGGTGCTGCAGAGACTTGCGTCTCAGTCCAGTGTCAGAAGCAAATCAAAGGTAGGACTCCGGGCTTAGTTGTTGGAGTTTGATCCTAGCAGGAATGTTTCTTTGTTTATTAATCTTCCTTTCCCTTAGGTCTTAGGTTGTGTGATCTCTTATTCTTCATTCAGGCTTAGTCAACCAGTGGGGAAAGTGATTTTAAAATGACTTCCTTCAAGCTGGGTTCATGCAAAAAGTTTTATTTCCTTTATAAATAACTATCTAGCACATTTCTTATTGTCCTTGAAAAGGGTAAAAAATTAAAAGGAGTTAATTGGCAAAACTGTAGGTGAGGGTATAAGTTTAAGTATTCTGAGCTAACACACACACACACACATTAACATTTGAGTTGTAGAAGTCTTTTTAATATAATACCAGAAGCTTTTTCACTTACAGTTGATAATATTTTCTTTCTAGTAACACAGTTTTCATTAAATCCAATAATAAGAAATATGAAATAAATTAAGAAACAAAACACCTGCAACTCTGGAGGGAAAATTACTAGAATTAACCCTTTTTCAAATAGGTTTATTTATTTTGAATTAATTCAAATCATTTTAAGGGCTATAAATTGGCAGCAAGTCAGAATTTTTCTCTTTAAATAAAAACCTCCAAATTATTAACTGCCCATTTGTTAGTTTACATTGCATTGTGACAAGAACCCATGACCATTATAAGATAAAAAAGAAATTAGTACACTGCCTGCATTTCTTTTGTTGAAGCTTAACATTTTTCTTTATAAAATGCCAGATAGTTTTCTAGAATATGGGTTTGATAGAATGCAAAAAAAAAAAAAGCAACAACCCATGATCTGGTACACTTAACATAGTGAGATTATCTGACATGAAATTATCAATAACCATGCTTATATGAGGGGCATTGAACTGAGATTTTCTTTGCCATTTGCATCTTAGTTTTCTTTTTAATTATTTTTTTTTTTGTAGGAGTACTGCTAGTTATTCAGCCACTGATTAGCTGATTGAATTGTGCATGAACTCCACCTTACTTTTTTTTTTCTTTTTCCATTTTTTTTATAATTTTATTTATTGAATCACCGTGAGAGCAGTTACAAAGCTTTTGGGTCTTAATTATTAAATAATGTATATGGATTGGCATTTTAAATTATTTTGTTAAGTTAGAGATTTTTTTAAAAATAAGCTTTTTTTTTCTCTTTTTCTTTAAAATTGCAGAACTTCGAGATCAAATTGTATCTGTTCAAGAGGAAAAGAAGATGTTAGCCATTGAACTGGAAAATCTCAAGAGCAAACTTGTAGAAGTAGTTGAAGAAGTATGTATCTCAGGCCTGAAAGGCAAGACCTTATGTATTTTCAAGGTGTTTGTAGAGTGACCAAATTTAGAACTTGCTGTTAGAAAATCTCCAGCATGACAGTCTTGTTCCAATTTTAATCTCTTCTCACTATTTCAAACATTTGAAAGGTTTGGAAAATATCCTGACCATGCATATATCCGCTACCCAGCTCATGAAATAAAACACTAAAATAGCTTTGTATCTTTCCCTGCAGTCTTAGAAAATATTCATTTTCTAAGAAAAATTTGTCAGAATAATATATGTAACCTAAGTTCTACACTTCGATGCTCTTGTGTAGAACTGTTTTTGCTGGGCTGGGCTGGGCTGTTTAGTGGTGGGTTGGCTCAGTGGAAAGGACTCTCCCCAACACCAGTGTATGCAATAGATGGTAGATGGGGTTCAAGTAGGTATTTGGAGATTTTTTTTTTCCTTTTGAGTTATTCTTAATTGGGAGGAGAGGAGGAGCATATAATGGCTTTCCCCCACCTCAGAACTTTTCGAGGATCTGTCTTTGCAGTCTCCATTGAACTTGTGTCAGTAGTTCTCAGGTTCTGTAGCTCAGAGCCCCACAGCTGAGGTGATATGGCATCTTGTTTTCTAGCAAATGGCTTAAAAGTTGGTCACAGAATTGAGCTCTTCAGTGAGTAATCTTATCCAAGTACTCCACTTCCTATACATAGATCATCTTCTGCGGGAGGGTTAGAATGTACATAAGGCAAGCAGACAGTGCCCGCCAATCTCCCCATTCCTGGTTGCTTTCAGTTCTTATAGTAAAGCATCGTAACGGATGGGAAAAGGGTGAAATTTTGGAAGCAACTTTTCTATTTGAACAGTGTATATTAGGGCTTAATGAAAACCCAGTAAGACAAAAATACAGTGGCTACTAAAAGAAACCAGTTTCTATATCATCCGGAAGTGCTGCTGGATCAGAATCCCATCAGGACCATCATCTTAGTTTGTTTCTTGAATGTTAATTAACCTTAAGAGTGATGAGAAGTACACTGGGATGCATAATATTCCTCAATTAATATTGTTGATGGTTTTCACCCTTTCCAGTTAGGGATGTTATTGGAAGCCATGCTAGCGGCTATTCTAACTATGATTATTTTCATCATTTGAAATGCATAGAAATGAACATAACTGTATAATGAACAACTTTGTAAACTACAGTGTTTAAATAGTTAATGAATTTTTTAAAAACGTTTACATAGTAAAATATATGCAAACAAACAAAGGCTGGAACAATAGCACAGTGGTAGGGCGTTCAATACAATGAACATTCACATACCCACTACCACTCTTACTATGTAAAGCTTCAACATAATGATGAAATCCTTGGTGCATTTCTTCCCCAACAATATGCTTCTCACTTCCTGCCCTATTTCCCTAAATTCCCATCATTCTGATCTTGGATTTTATCACTCCAGCGTATATCCATTCATAGTACAATTTATAGTATTTTCAGATTTTTTTAAACTATAGAAATGTACCTTTTTTTAAAAAAAATTCAACATAAGGTATTTGAAAATGTATTCACCTTGGTTTGGTATGACTATTTTAAAATAAACATAATTCTTAACTACCTTATGATAGTCTTTTCTCTTGATAGGTGGGTGCCAAATTATTTTACAAATTTATGTTTTCACATCTGTTTTACATAACCAAAAATCATCAAGTTGTCTTATTTTAAAAGAATTCATTCAAAGGATGGAAGCACATGCCTTACATACAGAGGCCCTGAGTTTGTTCTCTGATACCCTATGGTCCTCCAGCTCTATGGGGTGCCACAGCACTACTGGGCTTGAACCACAGTGCACTGATGTGTCTGAGCAAGAAAGTTCCAGACCTGCACAGCTGAATCAGATGCTTCTGAGGGAGACCCCTCACCCTTGAACCACTGCTGGAGAGGATACCTCCCAAATTCATGTGTGTTTCATTTAAGCCAAATTTTATCACAGTTTAAAACAAATCACATGTTTGATATAGGATCTCTAAATTTCTCATTGATTTTATGGGTGTTTTGTGGTAAGATTTTTGCATTAAAACTAATTAGTCCTTTACATTGGACAGCGAGTACACTGCCATGTTTAAGGACCAATGTCATTTGGAATATTTCCCTTACTTCTGTGCCAAATATGTATTTTATCATAAATAATTATAGTTGAGGCTTTAAGAAGAGCTTCAGCAAAAGTCTAACATAATGAAGCCAATTGTTGCTTCAAATTATAACTTCATATTGAAAGGTAAATAAGGAGTTTGAGCGTCACATTACCGTGTCATGTTTTATAATTTTGGTTGTCTTCTTCCCTTGAAATTTTATATTTATAGGTCAATAAAGTTAAACAAGAAAAAGCTGTTCTAAACTCTGAAGTTCTTGAACAGAGAAAAGTTTTAGAAAAATGTAATAGAGGTATGTATTTCTAGTCTTTTCTCAAATGTATACATTATTTTGTTTGCTTGTCACTGTCACTGTCCTCCCATTGTTCATTCATTTGCTCGAGCGGGCCCAGTAATGTCTCCATTGTGTCAATTGTTACTGTGTTTGGTATATCAAATATGTCACAGGTAGCTTGCCAGGCTTTGCCATGTGGGCGAGATACTCACAGTAGTTTGCTGGGCTCTTCAAGAGGGATGGAAGAATTGAATCCAGGTTGGCCATGTTGGCCGCTTGCAAGGGAAACGCCCTACCACTGTGCTATCGTTCCAGCCCTTTGTTTGTTTGCATATATTTTACTACATAAACGTTTTTTAAAAATTCATTAACTATTTAAACACTGTAGTTTACAAAGTTGTTCATTATACAGTTATTTCCAGCATTCATTGTTCCAGCACCATTTCCACCACCAGTGTGACCTTCCCTACACCATTTTCCCCAGTTTCCCACCCATTCCCCACATCTGCCCCCTTTGCAGGCACCGAATCATTCATTTATATTACTTGTTACAACAGAATGGCTAATGGAATGATAAAAAGATATTGCGGTAAAATAATATTTGTGAAAATTGTTTTATCTTACAATGGGGTCATTAACTATCCGAGACAAGCAAGCAATGCCAGAGTATAGAAAGCTAATTTTAAGGGTAGAGCGCTTTTAAATTAAAAGCTGTTCTCTTTGTTCGCTCCGTTCCCCCTTAGCTAGACTCTTTCTTGGTTCAAAAGGTGGAAGAGTGAAACAAACCTTTCATATTCAGAACCTTCCTTGCTTGTTATTGGTATAATCCAACTCTGCATCATTTATGAATTGAGATTTGGAGTAAAGGGCCTTGTAGTTAATTCGAATATTTCCTTAGCTTGCGGCATTGAAAGAGATAGAAATACTTGATGCACTGTGCTAGATACTGAAGGATATACGAAGGTTAATCGCATGAACCTTGCCTTCAGAGAGCTCTCTCTCAAGAAAGAGAAGCATTATATAGAGACATACAGGACTGGGACCAACCTAATCTAGAGGTATTATTTTAATACATACAGGATTGGCCCAACCTATTTAGAGGTATTATTTTATGCAATCAAGGGATCAACTTGATTTCTTCAGAATCAAGTGAGGAGTTTCAAGACAGCAAAAACAATTCACTTCTTATTAAGCATTCTGAACGTAGGAGAGTGTCAGTTATCTTACCCAATGCTTCACATATTCATAGCCTTTGTTTTCTTCATGAAATTTCCTTTTAAAATAGATCTGAAAATCATTTGGCTCCCAGGGATCTGTATTTCACATCACAAGCCAGCACTTACCTTGCCTTACTAAGACTCTTCGTCTTTCCTTCTAGGAGAAAGATTTATAGAGTGCAGAGTTGGAAATTCTATGTCATTACACAGCAAACCAGTCCTTAGCCAGTTAGGACTGAAGTGCCTTGGCGGAGCCTTGTGTGAAAGCAGCCATTAGGGAAGCCTTCCTAAAGATTTATTGATAGGACTCAGCTCAGAGTTGAAAGGGCCTCGCCAGAGGCAGATGGCGAAGCCAGTGTGTGGCATCTACCTATCTATGTTGTACCTAATTTATAATGGCCCCATCTCTCCCCCCATTCTGTCTATAGACCCAAAAGCAAAGAATTAGAGTTGACAAAGACCTTCCTTTGATGATTCAGCCCTACATGTATTCTTTATTTTTATTTTTTTGCTTTTTGGGTCACACCCGACAATACACAGGGGTTCCTTCTGGATCTGCTCTCAGGAATTACTCCTGACAGTGCTTGGGGGACCATATGGGATGCTGGGAATCAAACCCGGGTCGGCCATGTGCAAGACAAATGCCCTACCCGCTGTGCTATTGCTCCAGCTTCCCTACATGTATTCTTTATTATTTTTAATTTTCCCTTGTCATTAAGTTGCCTTTTATTTATTTAATTTTTAATTTTTAAAGTCATTTTTATTTAACTAAGAATCAAGAGTTAACAAAGATTTTGATTGTTGGAGTTTTAGGCCAATAATATTTCAATATCAATCTCGTCACCAGAATCACCTTCTCTTCACATATACCTATATTCCCTGTCTCCACATACTCTCCCCTGACTCCCACATACTCTACGCCTCCACCCCATCTGCCACCTTGACAAATACATTACAGAGTTCAGTGGGTGCAGATTAGGTCTCATGTTTTCAGTGTTATTGAGTCTGTGCATTGCATATATAACTATATCACCCAAACATGGAGAACATTTAAAAATTATTTACAACTATTAAAAATAATTTAAAGATAAAATAATTAAAAAAATAAAAACAAAAGTATTTGTTTTTAATCTAGTAGTAATTTTTTGTTTTTGTTTGGGGGCCACACCTAACAGTGCTCAGGGCTTACTTTTGGCTCTGCACTCAGGAATTATTCCTGCCTGTGCTTGGGGGACCCTGTAGGATCAATCCTGGATTGGCTGAATGCAAGGCAAGCATACTATCCACTGTTAATATCTTTCCAGCTCATCCAATTGTGTATTTTTGGTGGAAACTTTGTATTTCTATAGATAAAGGAGGAAGAGAAATCTCAATATTTATAATCCAGAGTGAGTGCATATGGTAAGTTTCTGTACGTGTTCATGCTTTGTTCTCTTAGGACATGAATGATTTCATATTTATTGCCAATTTGACACTTAAAAACACTTTTCTTGCGATGATAAAGACATAGCACAGGGGTTAATGTGTTTGCCTTGAACATGCCTGAACTTAGTTAGATCCCTTGAATTGCATGTAGTTCCCTCAGCACCAAGAGTAAGCTCTGAGCACTGCTGGGTATGGCACAGAAGCAAAAGACAAAAGACTTAAAAAATAAAAAGGTTTTATTGGGCAAGAGATGGAACTTGGGATAGAGAACTTGCCTTGCATGTGAGGGATTAATTCCCAGATGAAAAAGAAAAGGGGGTCTTATCTGTTTGTAGTTGAACCAGCAATAGATGAGGATGCTTCTATGCCTGTTACAAATCTCTACAATACCATTTTCATCCATCACTTGTATCACTTGTCATCTTGTTGCTCATCGATTTGCTCGAGTGGGTGCCTGTCACGTCTCCATTTGTCCAATCTCTGAGGCGTAGAATCATTTTCTTTTCCTTGTTTTATTAAGTGTCTATGCTAGCAGTAGAAGAGTATGAGGAAATGCAAGTAAATTTGGAGCTTGAGAAGGACCTTCGAAAGAAAGCTGAGTCATTTGCACAAGAGGTGAGTATGTTGCAGCGACTGAATTTTTCATTTTTATGTTTTTAAGATCTTTGCAGGTCAACAAGTCAAGTTTTTGAAAATTTGAACTAAAAACTTATCACTTTGAATTAAGCATCAGTAATTTAAGGCAGTAGCTATGGGATATTATCACGTTCTTAAAAGTTGATGTCCAAGATTGAGGTTTAAATTTGGACCATGTCAGTCAGTTACTAGTTATATGACCTTGAGAAACCCTTGACCTCCTAGATGTTCACTTTTGTTTTCTTCATTTAGTAATGATACTATAACAACCTGATGAATTTTAAAATCAAATGACATGATATTTAAAAAATCTTTTCGTAAACTAAAACATGTTATAAAGTGGGAAGGAATTCTATTTAAGGATACCCGTAACTTGTGATGGAAAGTCCAGGTTGAGTGTGGGATTTCTTTGAGTTTCAAATAGCCTTAAGAGTCTAAGTTACATCTCTATGTATCATCTCAAATAACAGTATCATGGTATTAGTATTTCTCTTTAGCCAATCCCAGTTCTCTCATTAAGTGAGTTGTTATTGCCAGACCATGCATCCATTGTCTGTCTTTCACCACAGCAATAATTTCCTCTTACAAGCAAGATAAACTCTGAGCTTCTCGTATTCCAACTTACCTTTGTTGACATGCAGTCGTTGGGTATTCCATGACTCTGGGACTGATTTCCAGCAAATGACGAAAGTCCAGTTGACTGAACTATAACACGTCATGATGGAGAGTTTATCTCTGCCTGAGATTTCCATCTTGGGTAAATGTCCTAAATCTTTCTTCAGACTGTAGATTGAAGGAAAGTATCCGAGAAAATGTAAAACAGACTTAGTTGTAGATATCCAAGACATAGAAGAAAGGCAAAGCACCACATAACGGGAATGACCTTTGAAAATTGGATTATGGTTTTGTTTAGCACTTGAATGTAGATGTGGCAGTAAACTCTATTAAAGGTATAATCCAGGAAGATCTGATTTGAAATATTCTGGTTAATTTTATTCAGAGTTTAATGAAAGGTGAATAAATCTTTTTTATACTTAAAAAGAAAAAAGGAATTGACTTATGTTGGAGGCCTTTGGAAGAAGCTGCAGCAACAATATATAAATAATGGAACTAAATAAAGAGATGAGGGCAAGAGTGAGTTAAGATAATGTGAAGATGTCTCTGTTACCAAATGAAAAGATTGACCGAGTTTGACCCAAATACAAGGATATAATTTTGAGAGACATTTTAAGTTTTTTATCAGTTTATACAATGGTGTTAGAATGCAGTGTTGCCGAGAAAAAATTGAAGGTCATGCAATAGCAGAGAAGATAGATGAAAGAAGTAAAGTTTCACTAAAAATACATAAATGAATGACACACTCTGCCGTTCACCCGCTACTGATTGGAGAAAACAATAATGTTCACATGTTGACCCAGAATAAGGAAATGGAATTTTGAAGAGGGCACAAAGAACAATGTTTTTTGCTGGTAGCACACACATTTACATCAGTGCTCAATGATTTCACAATTTATCTAAACAGTAATAAGAAGAAAATTCATCTTTTAAATAGTGCTGGAATGGAACCAGTCTATCTTTCCTTTTCTATGGCTTATAGTTTCTCATGCTGTAGTTTAGCAAGAGAGGTACGGTCTTTGCCTTTTGTTCCTAAGTATATTCAATAAACCTCAAGTCAGATACAGCTTATACTGGGAATATAATGTGAAAGAAATCAGGTACAATCATGGCCCTTGTGGAACTTGCAATCTAGGTTTCAGAAACTAACTTTAAATTTTATTTATTTATTTATTTATTTATTTATTTTACTGGGCTGTGATAGCACAGCGGTAGGGCGTTTGCCTTGCGCGTGACTGACCCAGCTAAGCCAGGTTCAATTCGTCTGCCCCTCTCGGAAAGCCCAGCAAGCTACCGAAAGTATCTCGCCTGCATGGAAAAACCTGGCAAGCTACCCATGATGTATTCGATATGCCAAACACAGTAACAACAATTCTCAAAATGGAGACGTTACTGGGCCTGCTTGAGCAAATCCACGGACAGTGGGAGAACAGTGCTATTTTTCATTTTATTTTATTTTATTTTTTTATTAGTGAAACACTATGAGGTATAGTTGTAGACTTACAAACTTTCATGATTGGGTTTCAGTTATACAGTGATCGAGTATCCCTCCACTAGTGCCCATTCTTCACCACCAATGATCCCAGTAACCCTCCCCACCCATCCCATCCTCCCCCACCCCACGCCTCTGTGGCAGGACATTCCCTTTTGCTCACTCTTTCCTTTAGGGTGTTGTAGTTTGCAATAGAGGTACTGAGTGGCCATCATCTAACTTTAAATTTTAATTTAATATATATGTCTTGTAAATTTTACATATATATCTTGTAAAAATACATATATGTATATGAAAATATGTATATATACCTTATAAAATACAAACAGTTCTCACATGTATAAAGCAAAAGCTAACAGTTTCTTTCATAATTTCACTTGTTCATTAAAAAAAAAACCCAAAACATAATTATCATCAGAAGGACAGTTGGTTTCATAACTATGTTAAATATTTGTCACTGTCACTGTCCTCCGGTTGTTCATCGATTTGCTCGAGTGGGCCCAGTAACATTGTGGGACTTGTTACTGTGTTTGGCATATCAAATACATCATGGGGAGCTTGCCAGGCTTTGCCGTGCAGGTGAGACAATGTCAGTAGCTTGCCGGGTTCTCTGAGGGGGGCAGAGGAATTAAACTCGGGTCGGTCATGTTGGCTGCGTGTAAGGTAGACGTGGCTACCCGTTGTGCTATCGCTTCAGCCCAAATATTTGTAGTTCTTCAAAATAATTCAGATTGTAATAAGACTTCTTTAAAAATATATATAAAGTTACATATTATATATATATATCTATATATACACACACACACACATATACACACACATACAGAGAGATAGATAGATATGTGCTTGGCTTTTTTGGTCACACCTAGCAGTGCTCAGCGGTTACTCCTGGCTCTGTACTCAGAAAAATACTCCTGTCAGTACACGAGGGACCATATGGGATGCTGGGATGAAACTCAGGTTGGCCATGTGAATGGCAAATGCCTTACCCTCTGGAATATCGCTTTGGCCCATAAGTTTTGCCTTCCTCTTTTGTCTTAAATTATGGTTAACATTCAACATGTAGTCCAGTGTCATGTGAGACTATTACAAAATCAGTCCTTGAGGTTGAAGAGCTAGTACATTAGGGAAGACATTTGCTTGGCTTGTGTCTGATCCAGGTTCAATGCCCAGCATCACATACGGTACTCAAATCCTGCCAGGAGTGATCCCTGAGCAAGAGCCAGGAGTAAGTTCTGAGCACTGCTTGGTATGGCCAAAAACGGAAAAGGAAAAAAGAAATCATTTCTTGGGAAGGAACATGGCTCAGTGGTAAAGCTCATGTCTTGAATGTGTACGGTCCTGGGTTCAAACTGCAAATGGAAAAGGAGATCAAGTTTTATCTTTCATTCCCTTAAACAACTTAGATAATATTTCAGTGTTATTTAGGAAGACTGGCTTATATAAGTAATGACATTGGATTTTATTTGTCTTTGAAATTATTTGTGAAATTTTGAAATCTGTGATATTATTTGTCTGTTATGAAGCCCACGTCATAACTCCAACCATCGAGTTCAAAGCAAATTCAGTGTTGCTTGATAACAGACTTTTTTTTTTAAATACATGTGCTGATGGTAGCTGGGTGTCCCATGTTATTTGACTCCCAGCTCACTGCCTCTGTTCCAGTTACGTCCACTGCTCCATACCCACCAACCTCCCAGAGCACTGAAAATAAATGGGCTCACTTTCATGGGCTCAGAGAACTTCATTCACTTCAAATGCTATTTTTAATCTCTTTTGCTGAGTAGGGGTGGGGGACAGTAGTTTTTAAGAAATGATAAGAGACCCCAACCAGTTAAACTGCTTCTTTTTTCCCTCACATTTTTCCCTTTCTTTAAAGAATCACTATGAGATACAGTTACAGACTTACAAACTTTCATGATTACATTTCAGTCATACAATGATGGAGTACCCATTCTTCCACCATTGCCCATTCTCCACCACCAATGTTTCCAGTATCCCTCCTGCCTCCCCCACCCCACCTCCAGCCTCTGTGGCAGGCTCATTCCCTTTTACTCTCTCTCCTTTTGGGTGTTTTGGTTTGCAGTATAGGTAGTAAGTGGTCATCAAGTTTGGTCCACAGTATACTTTCAGCACACATCCCAAGCGAGCCCTCCAAGCATCATTTACTTAGTAGTCCCTTCTCTATCCCAGCTGCCTCACATGCTGGGGGGGGGGGGGGGGGGGGAAGCCAACCAGTTAAGTTTCAAGAGAGAAAGGCATATAATAGAAGTTACTGTAATAACAATGGTGACTTAGCACAATTGGTAATATTTTCCTGGTATGTCAGTACTTCTGGTATCACTGTTCTCCAACCAGGTATTTTGTGCACTTGTACACACACACACACACACACACACACACACACACACACACACACTCACTCACTCACAGTACCTTCCTGTCTCATTCATATCTAGAAATTAAGCGATAGATGGAAGGAAAATGTAAATGGCACATGAAATATTTACTCTGGTTTTAGGGCACCCCTAGTCGTTTTCAGGTGTGTGCTTGGGGGTCACTCCTAGTGGCGTGGGAGTGGGGAGAGACTTCAGTTCCAGAGTCCATCACTTGCACGGCTAGCACCTTGACCCCTATGTTCTTTCTCCTGTCCATAAATTACACATTAAAATGTGGTTGAGAGGCTGAAATTGTGAAGTTCTACTATAAAATAGGCCTCATTTCGCAGGTTTAACAAACTTGACATATTTGGATTCAGCCATTTGCTAAATTGTGTAGGATGTTAATGAAAAGAAATAACAGGCACAGACAGAAACTAACGTTTCCAATCATGTAAGGTTGTGAAGGTTAAATGAATAATGCTGTGAGTTGTTTTATAGAGTGCTTGACAAATATTAGGATAGCTTTCCCCCTTCTTTTTACCCTTCAACTGTTAAATGCTTTTGTCCATTCTGGGGTAAAGTTCATTGGCATGAAACAAAACATCAGATGTAGTAAATAACAGATCAATCAGGCGAGTATGAATCTGAGCTTGTAAATCAGACAAATCAAGTTTTAAATCTCTATATTCCCGTTTACATATGTTTTGGGAAAAGTTATTGTTTCCTGAACCTGAGGTAACTTATTTGTAAAACTGGGATAACAGTTTACATTATTGTAATCATTGTTGAAATGATTAAAATAACACATAAAATATTTAATAAGGTGCCTGGAATAATAATGCTATAATAATAATGTTATACATTTATAACATTATTGTTATATTATATATTATATATTATATATACATATTTTATATATTATATATACATATTATAACAATAATGTTATACACTTATAATGTTACAATGTTATAAATCTTAGCTACTCTTGTTATATTAGTGCTACTTTTAATGCTACTTAATGATACTATTATTATCAATAGAATTTAAAGCTATAAAAACTATTAAAGACTCAGAGGGCTAAGTAATTGTGTCTCTACCATTTTGGGGTCAAGGAAAAGGTCAAGGTTATTTAAGTTATATAAAGGTTCTGAGTGAGATCAGACCAAGCTCTAATTTTAAAAATGTCATATACTATACAGTTCAGAAATTGGCATTTAGTTTTTTAAATTAAAACTCCACATACCACCTTTTGTACAGCTGTAATTGATATGTTTGAGGCTGATTGGAATATCTTTTAAATTAACTTTTGCAGATGTTCATTGAACAAAACAAGCTCAAGAGACAAAGCCATCTCCTGCTTCAGAGCTCTGCTCCTGATCAGCAGCTTTTGAAGGCTTTAGATGAAAATGCAAAACTCACCCAACTCCTGGAAAAGGAGCGAATTCATCATCAGCAAAAGGTAACCGATTTTCTTCTGCTATTTTGACGCACATAGACCTAGAGCACTTACATATGCACATAACGCCTTTAAAATGAGAGAATATAAAATAAGGAATTTATCATGGCATGTGATGCCTGAATTATCAAATCTTTCCAGTCACCTTTTAGAAAAAAATAGCTACCAAGTAAACATTTATCATCCAGCTAAAAATGTTTTGCACTCTGCTAGAGATGTTAAATGTGCAGAGGGGTAAGAAGAAGTGAGGGAAAGACAGAGAAAGTCAGATAGTGCACGTAATGCACAGTCTGAAAATCGGTGAGTTGATTGTGTTTGGGGAAATTGCTTATGCTAGGAGAGTGTATTAGTTTCCAAAGAGCTTGTTGAGGGCATAGGTTTTATTCAAAGAGGGAGGAAAAGAAACGTCCATGTTAGTGGTAATTGCTTGCTTAGAGAAAATTTCTGATTTTGTAAACTTGCCCAAATGTATATATTTAAATACTTCCTAAGTGGTGATTTCAGTTTGTTGGAGTGGAGCTATTCCAGCTGACACAACCTACTTCTAGGTGCGAGGCGAACGGATAGTCATCTTGGTAGGTGAGAAAGAGGAGGCGGGAGAGGAGGAGAGGTGAAGGGGTGGAACAAAAGCTTTCAAATTAAAGAAACCACTTAAGAAAAATTGCATCAATATTTATAAGACTTTCAGTGCACCTCGTTGGGGAAAGAAAGGCTGTTAGCAGCTGTTTGCTACCACCTGTCAAAATCTCTTTAAATAACAATATTGACGTTTAATCCTTGGAAGTTTCTGAAGTTTTACCAAGTTGGATCATACATTAGAGTTGATTTCTTTTCCTTAATAGGATGTGTGCGTGTGTGTGTTTGTGAGGGAGTATGTGTATGTGTGTGTTTGTGTATGTGTGTGTGTGAGAGAGAGCGTGAGAGAGTGATTGAGAGGGAGAGAGAGGGAAAGAGAGAGGGAAAAAGTGTGTGTGTGTGTGTGTGTGTGTGTGTGTGTGTGTGTGTGTGTGTGTGTAAAACCTTTAGATGAATAAGGAGTCAGTACTTGTTCCTGAGAAAGAAAACTGAGGAATAGAGTGGAAGGGAAAAGATTTCTTCTTTTCCCCCACCCGTGCCTCCATACACAAGAACTTCTTTTTCAGATAATGAGAGAATTAAGAATATGTATTTGCAGTTAACCACTCTACTCAATAATACACGCCTTGAACCTACTGAATTCAGTTGACATAAGGGACTAAGTTGGTATATATGCACTTTGTTGAGAAAAAGGGAGAGGTACTGAAGATTAAAGTTATGACTCTGATTATAGCTATCAGTGCTCCTGAAACTGTTGTGCTGAAGTTATTCTGGATAATCATTAATCTGGATAATCATTCATATAAGTGGTTTAAGATATCTGTTAGTTATTTTGCAGATTCAAAATTTAAAGATAGCTGCAATATTTCTTATCATTGTAAAAACTAAAATTTGCCTTGTCATAAGTAAGTTTTAATTACAGAAGATTTTAAGGAAGAAAATTAAAATTACCCAGAAGTCCCATACTTCAGCACATATACAAACTTTATGTAACTTTGTGAATATATTTAAATGAAATTGTACCATTACATACTATTCTGCAACCTAATTTCTTTCAATTACAATATATCTTCCAATATCAGTGTGTATATTGAACCCTATAATTTTATTTATTTTTATATTTTTGTGGTCCACACCTCGCAGTACACAAAATGGCTCTGTACTTAGGGGTCACTCCCTGCAATGCTTGGGGTTCCATGGAACACCAAGGATTGACTTTGGGCCCCCCGGCATGCAAAGCATGCAAACTCATCCTTTACGCTATTTCCCAGGCCAGTGATTTTAGACTTTTACATAGTATTTAATGGACACACTTTCATTTATTAAATCAGTTATATTAGTGAATATATAGATCCAACTTTTCACTGTCACTAAAAAAAAAAGTCCGCAAATATATTTGAACATTTATCTTACTATTTCTTTTCTTCTTTTTTTGTTCTTGTTTTGGGGGGGTCACAGCTGGCAGTACTTGGGGCTTACTCCTGGCTCTGTTCTCAGGGAATATTCCTGCTGGTTCTCAGGGGACCATATGTGAATGGAACTGGGGTTAACCTTAAATACCTTAATCTCTGCCTTAAATACCTTAATCTCTGTACTGTCTCTCCTGAACATGTTATAAAAGTATTATTGCTTAATCAAAGGTAATTTCCTTCTTTTTTTGTTTTAGATTGTTGTTTTTGGGCCACACCCAGGTGTACCGGGGATTTACTGGCTCTGTGCTCATGGATTACTACTCCTGGTTTTAGGAGTGGTAATTTGTGGTCCATTCGAAATTGAACCTGGGTAGGCAGTGTGCCTTATGGGCTGTAAGCTTTCTAAGCCTCCTTTTTTTTGCTTTCTGGATTATACCTGGCAATGCACAGGGGTTACTCCTGGCTCTTCACTCAGGAATTGCTCCTGGTGGTGCTTAAGGAACCATATGGGATGCTGGGAATTGAACCGAGGTCGGCCGTGTGCAAGGCAAATGCCCTACCCACTGTGCTATTGCTCCAGCCCCTCTAAGCCTCCTTTCTCCCCTTTATATTTTTAAGTCTTTTGAGATGTATTATTAAATTGACCCCTCAGAGATTTTTTTCTAATTCAACATAAGTAAGCTTTTCTCTGAAAAAATGGAAATAAAATGACCAATATGTTTCAAAAGCATGTTTAGGTATTGTTTTATTTTCTTGACTCAAGTTTTAAAACTAAATTATTTGGGATATAAATGTATATTGAAATAAATAGCTGATAATCACTTTATCTTTACCCAGGCGTTTGTGTAGGTTGGGAGATAGGACTTTTCCATTAATACTGGGTCCACCAGGCCACGCAGCCCTGTCCCTCGGCCCTATATATGCCAGGGCCTTTGATCTCTCTGCCCATCGGTTTTTAAGATGAGTGGGATCTCTTTGCTGCGAAGTATGAAGTAAAGAAAACCAAGGGCCATAGATAGAGCTCAACAAGTTGGTACATGCTCTGCATGCACAAGGCCCAGGTTCATTCTCTGGCATTGTACTGTCCCCCAAGCTCTGTCAGAAGTGACCTCCTGAGCACTCAACTGAGAGTAGACCCTGAGCACTGCTGGGTATGACCCTGTGTAAATACGAAAGGGGGGGCAGCAGTGGCGTTCAGTCTCTCCCCGCTGTCCGTGTTCGGTAGTCTCAGGCCATTTCCCCCACCCCGGGGAGGTCAATGGAGATGCGCAGGTGAAAGAAGGAATGAGGGCCAAGTTGGTTGGTGTCAGTGGCAGTTCATTCCACTCTCCTCTCCATTCTCCTCTGGTTCTCCTCCTGCTTCTTCCTCCCCCATGCTACTTCATTCTCCTCCTCGATCCCTCTTCACTCTCCTTCTGGCTCTGGAATCTGGATCCCCCAGCCCACTCTTACAGTCTAGTTTAAATCCCCCAGCATGAGGGGTTGGGGTAACAATTACACATAGGTATCATCATACAATCAGCAATGTAAGGTCTTTCCCTCAGGGGAAGCTACTTCCAGGGCAGATTCTTATCCAGCAAGACAACTGGCCTAAAGGCAAATATGGGTGTGTTTCTCCTCTCCTTAGTCTAACAAACATATAAACATTCATAATATTAATCATTTTGTATGGGCACAGTAAGAAATACATTAAGCTTATAGAATTTCTCTCCTGGGGCCATCTGCATCTCAGACTGCAGTGCTCAGGCCAGATTAGTCTTTCTTATCCCTAGCAGGGTTCTATTTGTCCATGATCAAGCTCTTAACTTATAGTTAAATATCATGGCACTTTGGCTGGCCCATTTTGATGCCAGGGTAGCTCACAGCTTGCCCTGGGTCCATTCAGTCCCTCGTTGGGACCCTGCTTTGGGGGGTGCTAGGAACTAAGGTCAACTGAGGCTTACGTCGAGAAAGCAGGTGCCCAGGAGTGAATAATATTTGAAGCTAATTAAATCCCAAGTTACAAAAGCATAATATTAACTGTCGTCCTGTGTCTATACAAAAAAGGGCATTGCTTGAAAGTAAACTATTCAAGTAAGTAGACTATAAGAAGAGGGGAAAGACAATATTTCACTCATACATATAAAATCATAGGTTTCTGAGGAATCTGACCTTGCAAGTTAACAGAGTCTGATTAGGGGGGAAAGCTGATTAACTGGTTGGGGAAGAGAGCATAGAGAAGAGTTTACAGATGAACACAATGGAATGGAAGTGCCTCAGGAACATTGTGATAAACCTGAGCTCCTTGTGGCAAGGGAAACAGGACAAACGAATGTCATCATAAAACACTCAGAACTATATTCCAATAAACACAGAAGAATGGAGGTGCTTCAGGAGCACTGTGATAGGTAAAAGGTAAAGGTAAAGGCCCTCCCGTTGATCGTCGATTTGCTCGAGCGGGCCCAGTAACGTCTCCATTGGAGACTTTGTTGTTACTGTGTCTGGCATATCCAATACTCTCGGTAGCTTGCCAGGCTCTCCAAGAAGGGTGGAGGAATCGAACTCGGGTCGGCCATGTTGGCTACGTGCAAGGCAGACGCCCTACCCGCTGTGAGGGGCCAGAGTGATAGTACAGTTGGTAGGGCATTTGCTTTGCACTCAGCCTACCCAGGTTCCAACCTTGGCACCATATATGGTCCCCCAAGGAGCACTAGAAGTGATCCCTGAGCACAGAACCAGGATTAAGCCTTGAGCACTACCAAATATAGCACCCACCAAAAAAAAGAAGTAATGAAAAAGAAACAATTCAGTTATAATATTTACACATATGACCACAGATATAAAGCATAATATGCAGTAAAGGTAAAGGCAAGGTAAAGGCCCTCCCACTGATCATCGATTTGCTGGAGCGGGCCCAGTAACGTCTCCATTGGAAACTTTGTTGTTACTGTGTTTGGCATATCGAATACTCTCGGTAGCTTGCCGGGCTCTCTGAGAGGGGTGGAGGAATCGAACTCGGGTCGGCCATGTTGGCCGCTTGTAAGGCGAACACCCTACCTGCTGTGCTATCGCTCCAGCCCTGTAGCGAGGGAGAAAGGACAAACCAATGTTATCTTACATGACCCTAATAAGCTAACAACAAGACTGGGATTCCCCAACACCCTCCCACCTTTATTTTCTTTGACACAAGAAAAATTATGTTACTCATAAACTTCTGTTTACAACTTACAGGTTAAAGAATTAGAAGAGAAACTAGAAAATGAAACCCTCAACAAAGAGATACACAACCTCAAACAGCAACTGGAGATTCTAGAAGAAGATAAAAAAGAATTGGAATTGAAGTATCAGAGTTCTGAGGAGAAAGCCAGAAATTTAAAGCATTCTGGTAAGACGGTAATAGGCTTCTGTGTCTTCATATTAGTCTGGATCTTTCATACCCAGAACAAAACCCAAACATATAGATTTTAGTACAGAACAGTTAGTGATTTCTATAGAACAATATCAAGATTTCTTTTCAATGCCTTCATTTCTAAGTATTGCAAGTTAATAGAACAGCCACTGTAACGCAACATTTCTTAAGTATTTAGACTTCATTTTTGGATTCAGAACCTTTGTGAGCATTTCATATAGAATTAAGAGACAAAGATACCATTTAAATGGGAAGACCAAAATTTCAGCTCTTCCCGGGGTTTCAGAGACAAGTGTTCAATAAGTGCCTGATTTACTTTGTTCATTTCTGGGTGCATTTTAAAAGGGAATTAAACTTTTTAGGCTCACACTGCCTTTATCTTTGGTGTCTAATTATACACTTGAAATAATACTTTCGGAATCACACAATAAAATGGGCAACAATATATATATTAAATGGAAAAACTTTTAAAACACCAGGGGATACTTAAATCAAAAGATTTATTCATTCAATTCTAGAAGGCTTAACAGAAATGTGTGAGTTGGATTACTACACAGGGATAAGTAATAAGTTTCTGTTGGAAGGTAGGTAATTTCAGAAGGGAGGTCATTTCCTTTATAACGGCTTCAATATTCACTTCAGATATTTTTGGTTAATTTTATACTAGAATTTTGAAATCTGTATAGGAAAACTAAGTAGGCTTTCTCCTTTGAAAAATATTCAATGCCTTCTAGTCCACAATGAAAATACATTATTACAATTTATTTTTAAAAACTGGATCTGAAATTAAGAAGTATCCCATACTTTTCATGAATATCAGGAGTGCATGTAGGTAGCCAAAGCCTCTTTCATATAAACGAAAGGAAGTGTACTTAAATATCACTGGAGATATTTGAAATTCAGTTGCAAACATGTTTTATTTAGTGGTGTATGCCCTTTGTAGGCCTTAGGATGTTGTAAGAAATACAAAAGAAAGAAAACCATGCCTTTGTCCTTGAGAAATTCAGAGTCCTTTCGGAGAGAGAGACAGATGCATGTGAAATAACCGGAGGTTTCTTAACACAGGAAAGCATAGCTCACATTACCTATCTCATTGTTGAGGGTAAAAACAAGTGGTCTCTTCATGGGAGCATAATTAGTCAAGAAATAGTTGTGGAGAGAGAGATACCATGTCCTAGACATTTATTTACATGGTGATAAAAGTTTAAATTAAGTTCCTTTGAGTCAGGAACTATGTCTTGAGAGTGCTCAGCATATTTTTAAAAAAAATCTTATTGAGGTACTATAATTTACAATACTGTGATGATGGTTTCATGCATACATCATTCTAGCGCACCTGCCACCAATGTGCCCAATGCCCTCCGCCAAGATCCCTCTCCACCAAGATCCAAAGACCCCTCCCGTTCAAACTCCACTTCTCATCAGGAACTCAGTTCTCTGCACCAATTCTCCAGTTCTTTTGCCTTGGGCCATTTGTTATTCTTTTACTGTCACTGTCACTGTCCTCCTGTTGTTCATTTATTTGCTTGAGCGGGCTCAGTAATGTCTCCATTGTGACACTTGCTGCTGTGTTTGGCATTTCGAATTCATCACTGATATCTTGCCAGGCTTTGCTGTGCGGGCGAGATACTCTCGGTAGCTTTCTGGGCTCTCCGAGTGGGGTGGAGGAATCGAATCTGGGTCATCCAGGTCAGCTGCATACAAGGCAAACACCCTACCCACTGTGCTATCGCTCCAACCCTCTGTTGTCTTTAAATCTTACATGTGAGAGAATGCATTCTGTATGTATGCCCTTACTTCTGATTGCCTTCATTTAGCACAGTACCCTCTAGTTCCATCCATGTAGAGGTAAATGCCATGATTTTGTTCTTTCTTACAATTCTGTATATATACAACAACTTCTGGATCCATTCGTCCATAGTTGGGTATTTCAGTTATTTTCCTATCTTGTCTATGATACTAATAACTTAGAACCAGTGAACATAGGTGTTCCTATCTCCTTTTGAATTGATGTTTTTATTTTGGAGGTAGATGCCAAGAAGTGGTATGTCTGGGTTCTGTTCCTACTTTTTAAAGAACTGTCCATCACATTTTTAATAGAGGTTGAGCAAGACAGTGTTTCAATGATGAATTCCTTTCAGGAATTCAGGTTCCTTTCTCATCACAACCTGCCTACTCTGGCTCTTCCCAGAATTTTTGGTATAATCACAATATTGGTGCTTAGTTAATACCCATTCCATTAGTGACTTCAATGAAAAAATTATATTTCTAGATGTTCTTTAAAAGAGCAGAAACTTTTTTAAGTAAGAAAATCTGAGTTTGGTTAAAAATAAACAGTATAACATTTATGTTTTCTGAAGGAAGTTAACTGGAGGAGGAAAGTATGCTATTCAAATTATTTACAAATGTCAACTTTAAAATTAATTCTTGTGGCTGGAGTGATAGCCCAGCGGGAAGGGTGTTTGCCTTGCACCCCACTGACCAGGGTTCAATTCTCAGCATCCCTTATGGTCCCCTGAGCACCACCAGGGGTAAGTCCTGAGTGCATGAGCCAGGAGTAACCTCTGTGCATTGCGGGGTGTGACCCAAAAAACAAACAAAAATAAATAAATAAAATTAATTCTTGGCCCATCTAATCTTATAATCAAATATTAATAATTCCTTAGTACTTGAGAAGTTTATTTTGTTATTAAATATGTCTTCATCTTACATTCTTACTTCCCACCCATTCAGCCATTGTCTTAAGTTTTTCTTTTCTTTTTCAGCAAAAACGATAGAAATGCTGATATATAAAAGGCTTTGTGTTAGAAATAGTAGATGCAATGATAGAAAGTTTTCAAATTTCTAAAAAAGTTGGAAAGTTTCAATAGAATACTGTTGAGCTATTAAAAAGATTTTTTTGTCATTTGCAAGAAAATGAAAGAAGCTTAAAGAAATTATGCGAAGCTAAATACATAAAAGGAAACATGTATTGGATTATTTCACTTACATGTGCGAAAAATACAAGGATATTAAATTGATGAACAGAGAAAACACACAAACAAAGACAAACCAGTCTTGATTGAAATTAGAACTAACATTACCTGAGGAAGGGAAGGAGGGAGGAAGGAGGGCATGCTAAGGAGTGGTGTAAAAAATAATAAATCTGAGGCTGTAGAGATAATACAGCAGGTAGAGTGCTTGCTTCACATGCAGCTGACCCAGGTTCGATCCCCAGCATCCCTTATGATCCCCTGAGCACACCCCGCCCCCCCCAGAGTAATTCCTGAGTGCAGAGCCAGGAGTAACCTGGGAGCATCACTGGGTGTGGGACCCCTAAACCCAAAGTAAATAAATAAATCAAGTAGTAGATAATGAAATACTGTACAACTGGCGAGAGAGTCACTATCAGTATCACTATTCTCCCGTTGTTCATAGATTTGCTCGAGCGGGCACAGTAACGTCTCCATTGGAGACTTTGTTGTTACTGTGTTTGGCATATCGAGTACGTCACGGGTAGCTCTGCCGTGCGGGCGAGATACTCTTGGTAGCTTGCCGGGCTCTCCGAGAGGGGCAGAGGAATCGAACTTGGGTCGGCCATGTTGGCTGTGTGCAAGGCAAATGCCCTACCACTGTGCTATCGAGTTAAATGCTGGCTTGAGTGCAGCATGCTTTAGTTTGACCCCTGACACTGCTTATGGTGCCCTGAGCACTGTGAAAAGGAATTCCTAAGTACTGCTGGGTGTACGCCTCCTCCTGCCCCGCCACCAAAGAAAAGAAAAGAAATAGAAGTAAAACAATGAAGTAAAATTCAAACAGGGGAAAAAATTAAACACATTTTGTAGTTTTATATAGAAACTTCTGACTTTGAGAGAAATTATGCTTTTGTCTTTACCTGTGTAAGAAGTGTTGAGTTACTGATTTCAACCCTTTTCTGGTTATTTACTTTCTGTGCAGTTGACGAACTTCAGAAACGGGTGAACCAGTCTGAGAACTCAGTACCTCCTCCACCCCCTCCACCACCGCCTCTCCCTCCGCCTCCTCCCAACCCTATCCGGTAAGCTCGTCCAGGAAAACTGCTCGGAACCAGATGCCACTGCACCCTGATTTCACCCTGTTTTATGTAAGGAATAAAGAAACAGAAAACACTGGCTTGAAGGCCCAGTGTGGCTCAGTGGTCAGTGCTTGTCCTGCAAACTCCAAGCTGCGTGCTCATGTGCTAAGTTGATTGCAGCACCACTAATGGGATTCTGGACATCACTGTAGCACTGTAGCACTGTCCTCCCATTGTTCATCGATTTGCTCGGGTGGGCACCAGTAACATCTCCAATGTGAGACTTGTTGTTACTGTGTTTGGCATATTGAATATGTCACGGGTAGCTTGCCAGGCTCTCCAAGAGGGGCAGAGGAATCGAACCCCGGTCGGCTGGGTCGGCTGTGTGCAAGGCAAATGCCTTACCGCTGGGCTATTGTTCCAACCCCAACATCACAAAGGGATGATTATCTGGCGTATCACAACCAACTGTGTATGCTCCCAGGCAGCACAGTGACAGCAAAACTAAGGGAAAAGGAGGAAAGAAAACAAGGTATTGACTTTTTTTAGGAAGGGGTGTTTGGGCCACACTCAGGGCTGCTCAGGACTTACCCCTGCTGGTGTTTTGTGGACCATATGTGTAGGTGCTCCCGATCGAATCTGGGAGTCCAGCAGGTAGGGTGCTTGCCTCGCATGTGGTCAACCCAGGCTTGCTCTCATATGGTCCCCTGAGTTCCCCAGGAGTGATTCCCAGAGTGAGTAGCCAGGAGTAAGCCCTGAGCGCTGCCAAGTGTTGCCCAAAACCAAAACCAAAGCAAAACGCTGGGGTCAACCGCATGCAAAGGCACATACTCACCTCCAGTACTCCCCACAATACTGGCTTTGACTGCATTATTATTATTGGAGGAGTATAAAAAAGTATGAAATATATCTTCTAGTATCCATTTCTTTCAGAGAATTTTCTAAAAGTACATAATTTCTGCCCTCTTTTTTTTTTTTTTGTAATTGATATAAAGAAAAGGATCTTAAAAATCGCTGGAAGTCTTGTGGAAGAGCACTTGGGTTGCATGTGCAACCCTCGAGTTCCATCCCTGGCACCCGAGCACTCTGGTGGCTGTGGTTGGCACCCTGACCCCTGCCCAGCAGCCTGGTGGTTGTGGACCGCACTACAACTTGGAAAAAAAAAAAAAGCCTAGGTTAGAGAGATAGTACAATGGGTAGGGTACTTGCCTTGCATGTGGTTGCTGACCTGGGTTTGATCCCTGGCATCCCATATGGTCCCCAGAGCACCGCCAGGAGTGGTTCCTTAGTGCAGAGCCAGGAGTACCCCCTGAACATCGCTGGGTCTGGCCCCAAAACCTGGTAAAGCATTAAGCATTCCTGTGGTCTCAAGTCTTGTTTCTTTTTTTTTTTTTTTTCTTGAGAGGTGATAGGGGATTTGGGCCACACCTGGTGGTGGTCATCTCTGCCTCTTTGATCAGGAGTGACTGTTGTGGTGCTCAGGACCATATGCCACGCTGGGGGATTTAAACCAGGGTTGAAGCCTGTAATGCAAGTCCCTTCCTTCCACCGAGTGAAGGATTGTCCGGTGTGCATCATCCTGGTCAGTGCAGTAACAAGAGGAAGGGAAAAGAAATAAAAATACTCTCTCTGACCCTGGTTTCTAGAGTGTTCTTTTTGTGGTAGATGTTTGAATCCCAAACCAGGAACTAGACTTTTTTTTTTATACTTCTGTTACTGAAAAGTGTGAGATTTTCTTTTTTTCTCTTTTAGTTTTTAAATTTTAGCCCATGATATTATGGTTTCCTTTAATGGTGAGACCAAGGAATTTTGGGCTTCTTGGAATGTTTCCATCTTTTTCTCTCACTAATTTGAATTTGAAAAGTTCTGGTTTATTTATTTAAAAAAAAAACAAAAGTACTAAACTCAGTTAAAACTTAACAGTACTGATTGTTATGAGCAGTAATTAATTTAAAAGAACTAGGGAGCTGGAGCGATAGCACAGCATGTAGGGCGTTTGCCTTGCTTGTGGCCGACCTGGGTTCGATTCCCAGCATCCCATATGGTCCCCTGAGTACTGCCAGGAGTAATTCCTAAGTGCAGAGCCAGGAGTCACCCCTGAGCATTGCTGGGTGTGACCCAAAATTAAAAGAACTAATTGTTTTTGTCCCAAGCATTCCAGTTAAACTTTTAATAATGCTGAATGTTATGTTGAATTCTATAGATATCAAATGTATAAACAAAAATTCACTACTTGGGAGCTGGAGATAATCATAGTATAGTTGGCAAGGTGTTTGCTTTGTATGTGGCTAACCCAGATTTGATCCCCAGCATCACCCACATATAGCCCTCTGAGCACTGTCAGGAGTGAGTCCCTGAGCAGAATCGGGAGTAAACATTGGGGAACATCGGGTATTCCCCTCGACTCCCTCAAAAAAAGATAATTTACTTGATCTAAACACTACAGTAACCTTATGATACTGTAGCTTTGCTTAGTATTTTAAACCTATGGGCCCCTTAGAATGAAAAAACTTTTTTTTAGTGATTTTTTTTCATTTCATCATCCAGAATTATATAAGACAACCTACGTGAGGTGGGCTCAGCTTGCTTCTTGGTGTTAGTTATTTTTTGTATATTTCATTCTTGAAAAATGTTCTATAAAACTTTGCTAGGTTTTTGCCTTTCATTAACTCGTGTGATTTGTTTAATCCTTTGCACTGAGAGACCATTTAGTCATACTTTGCACCTTGTGGATCCATCTGAATAGAATGTGTGGCTTGTCCCTCCCACACAACTGTGGAAATGGGGCTTTGCTTTTTAAAAGTATTCTCATTAGTTCCCCTTACTGTGTATGACATGACACAGTCTAATTTAAGCCACTGAATTAGTTAAGGCAAAATAAGTTTTATACGTGATCAATCCAAGAGTCCAGTGAAAGAATTTTAGGCATTTTAAATTCTTTCTCTCCTTGGTAGCTAAAGCTGGTAGCTAAAACTCTGCTTTTGACATTTAAAGTAAGAAATTCATCACTTTGATCTTTCACAAACTTCTAGAATTTTGAGATAATACAAAAGGTCACTGAGGAGGGAGAACTACCGGAATGAAATTTTAATTTTGCCTTTTTAGCCTTTATGTTTTAGTCTGAGAACTCTTGAGAGGCCCTGAAATGAAAAGCAAAGTAGCACCTAAAATAGAATACTTTTCTAACGATAAATTTATAGTTACAATGAGAAATGAATGTAAATTTGGATTATGTATACCTAAGGGATGAATTCTTTTGCTTTATACATATGTGGGGTTTTTCTTTAAAGAAGTTTTTCTTTGACTAGGATCAATTATTTTTAACTCAAAGGACTGCATTGCCTGCCTTGCGTGTAGGAGGCCTGTTTCAATTCCTGGCATTGCATGGTTCTCCCACCTCCGCCCCCAAAGATATAATTTCTTACTACAAAAAGAGTTGGTTTTTTTTTTTTGGTTTTGTTTTAGTACAGAGTGTTTTCTTTTCAAGAAACATATTTTGTTATGGATTGAGTTTCACTGAACTTGGAATTCAATTAATCAGGATTTTTCAACTTTGTTCCTGAGAAATGGAAGGAGAGTGGAAGATGAAGGTCTGGTGAATTCTTGGTTTGTGTTCTTGCAAGCTTTTATCTTTGTCTGGTTTTTTGGACAGCCAGGCAGTGCTTGGAGGACCAGGCCTGGCAGTGCTTGAGGGACCAGGCTTGGCAGTGTATGGGGGACAGCCTGATGGTGCGTGGGGGACCTGCCATACTAGGGATTGAACCCACAGCTCTAGCATGGGCTCTGCCCTTTAAGTGATCTCAGCAGGCTGGACCTCTGATTTCTTTACATAAGTTTCTTTCTTTCCCCTCTTCTTCCTGCCCGTTTGACTTAGAGGAGAAGTGGGTGAGAAAACAGAGGAAGAAGGTAACCTTGGTTCTTTTTTACTAATAAAAGTAGGACTGGTCACAGGCATGTATGACTCATGGGGAATGTGTTAGAGTTCTCCAGAGGAACTGAATCAAGTGTGTGTGTGTGTGTGTGTGTGTGTGTGTGTGTGTGTGTGTGTATGTGTGTGTGTGTGTTCAGATACACTTCTGTATGAGATTTGTTCTAACGACTTGACGGTCACCAGATCTGCAGAGTGACTAGCATTGGCAGAGAAACAGCCTGTGGTATTGTTCAGGTCCTAAGGTTTCCAGGCTTAACATCAGGAGGAAGCAGTATTCCACCTTAATTCTAATCTGAAAGCAGGAAAAGGCTGATGTTCTCATTCAAAGAGGAATGATCTCTTTTGAAGAGGCAGAAAACATACCCCTTCCTCCTTTCCTGGGCAATTTCCATATTATGTTCTGTCAGGATAGGAAAGATACCCAGAATAGTGTTTGATCATGCATCTGAACACCCCATGACCTTCTCAGGTCGAAATAAAATTAGCCATCACAGTGAGCATGAAGAATACTTCTTGAAGAACTTTCTTTTTTAATTTTAGCCACTGTGATTTATAATTTTACAATACTGTCAATGGCAGGGTCTTACACATACAATATTCCAACAGCAGACCCTCCACTATAGTGCCTCCACTATAGTTCCCTCAATTCACCAGTTACCCTGCCACCCCCTCCCCATCTTCTCACCACTCCTACTCTACCCCCACCTTTCTTTGCCCAAATAAACTCCATTCTGTAGACAAGTTCTTAGATGCTGTGCTTTGGGACATTTCTTGTTTCCTTATTGTGGGTTTTTATAATCTACCTATAAGAGAGATCATTCTGTAGTTCTCTCCCTCTCTCCTGAATGACTTTGCTCAGCATGATATACTCCTGTTCCCTTCACATAGTGGCAAATTGCATGATTTTGTCTTTTCTTATAGTCAGGTAGTATTCCATTATATAGATATAGATACAGATACAGATATAGATATAGATATAGATATAGATATATCACTGTCACTGTCCTCCCATTGTTCATCGATTTGCTCGAGCTGGCCCAGTAACGTCTCCATTGGAGACTTTGTTGTTACTGTGTTTGGCATATGGAATACATCACTGGAACAATACGTGGGCTGGAGCGATAGCACAGCGGTAGGGCATTTGCCTTCCATGCAGCCAACATGGCTGACCCGAGTTCGATTCCTTCATCCCTCTCGGAGAGCCCGGCAAGCTACCGAGAGTATCTCGCCCGCGCGGCAGAGCCTGGCAAGCTACCCGTGATGTATTCAAGATATATATATATATATATGTACATATATATATCTGTATGTGGGCTGGAACGATAGCACAGCAGGTAGGGCATTTGCCTTGCATGCAGCCAGCCCGGCTGAGCCGGGTTTGATTCCTCTGTCCCTCTCAGAGAGCCCGGCAAGCTACCGATAGTATCTTGCCCGCATGGCAAAGCCTGGCAAGCTACCCATGATGTATTCAATATGCCAAACACAGTAACAAGAAGTCTCAAAATGGAGACGTTACTGGGCCCACTCAAGTAAATCAATGAACAATGGGAGGACAGTGCTACAGTGCAGTGCTATCTGTATGTATACAGATATATGGGCTGGAACGATAGCACAGCGGGTAGGGCGTTTACCTTGCACGCGGCCGACCCGGGTTCTCACAATGGAGATGTTACTGGTATCCGCTTGAGCAAATCGATGAACAATGGGAGGATAGTGCCACAGTGCTGTACAGATATATATATGTGAATGTATAATATATATGTATATATTATACATTCATTATCCTTTATCTGTTATTGGGCATTTGGGTTGTTCAAGATCTTGATTATCATGAACATTGTTGTAATGAACATAGGAGCACAAATTAGTTCCTTTTCTGGGTAGAGTATTTTGCTCCTCTGGGTTGTTGCCTAAAAGTGGTCATGCTGGGTCATATGGAAACTCAATTCTGGTCTTTTCAGATTGTCCATATCGTTTTACAGAAAGGTTGAACTAGTGAAAATTCCCACCAGCAACCTATAAGGGTTTCTTTTATCCCACATCTATGCCAACACTGGTTTTTTTTCGTTCTTGTTGGTGCGCACTGGTCTCAATGGTGTGAGGTGGTATTTCATTGCATTTTCCTCCTGATCAGTGATGCAGTGCATTTTTTTTTCTGCAGCTCTTGGCTATCTGTATGTCTTCTTTGAGGAAGTTTTTATTCATCTCTTCTCCTCTTTTGTTTAATGGGGTTGGTTGAGAACTTCAAGGTGACTATTCTCTGTTCCTTCTTGGTAGAACACTTGGTTGGAGATTTTATCTGTTCTGCTGAAATGGCTGTGAAATTGAGCAATTTTAGCCAGAGGTTTGTTTATTGGCCAGTTCTCTTATCCTGGTCTTCTCCTCTCACCTCTTTTTATTCCACCAGTCTCATTTTTTCTTTAAACTAATCTCAGTTTTTCTTTTTTTGACTAATTGTTTTTCCAAGTGATTTTCCTTTGGGCACCATATTTGTTTCCAACACTTACATCATCTCAGATATTTAAAATTAGTAACTTCTGTCATTGACTAATGTTGTACACATTGAGAGAATTCCTATAATTTCCCTTAGCTGGTGATAACTCAAATATCTACCGCAGTGGATAAACTCACCTTGGGAAACTAATAAAGTATACATCAATGAATATGAATTCAATTTAGTTACACAAAATACCATGTATGCATTTTATAAAAGCAATGGAGCATCAGAAGAATAAGGTATGAATGTAGTAAAATTCCAATTATCTACAAAACAGGCCATTATTTATACTTATCATAGTTTAGAGATGTAGTTCAAAAAAGGTTTTTCTCTAATAGAAGGAAATAACTAACACAAAAGTGAGTATAGTGATTAAGGAGGAAAATGTTTGGAGAAATGAAGGAAGCAAAGGATTCCAGGGTGTCTGTAATTGTTTTATTTTTTGATTTGCATGTTCATTACATGGATGTTCACTTTATACTATTTTTCAACTGTATGTATATAGGTTTGGGAGCTGGAATGATTGCACAGCGGGTAGGGTGTTTGCCTTGCATGCGGCCAACCTGGGTTCTATTCCCCTGTCCCTTGCAAAGAGCCCAGCAAGCTACTCAGAGTATCCCGCTTGTACGGCAGAGCCTGGCAAGCTCCCCGTGGCGTATTCGATATGCCAAAAACAGTAACAACAAGTCTCACAGTGGAGACGTTACTGGTGCCCACTTGAGTAAATTGATGAACAATGGGAGGACAGTGCTACAGTGCTACTATATAGGTTTGTGTATATTTACATATACTAAAGAAATCTTCTAGCTACCTCAAAAATGTCCTCAGTATCATTCTTTTTGTTTGTTTGTTTGCTTTTGTTTTGGGGGTGGGTGCTTACTCAGCAGCACTCAGGACTTGCTCCTGTCTCTGTGCTCAGGAATCACTTGTAGTGGGTTCTGGAGGATACTATGGGAATGCTTGGGGTCAAACCCAGGGCAGATGCATACAAGGTAGGTGCCCAATATATTGTATTATCGCTGCAGCTCCTTTTAAAATTTATCTGAGAAAGACAGAATAAAGGTAAAGGTAAAGGCCCTCCCGTTGATCGTCTATTTGCTCGAGCGGGCCCAGTAACGTCTCCATTGGAGACTTTGTTGTTACTGTGTCTGGCATATCGAATACTCTCGGTAGCTTGCCGGGCTCTCCGAGAGGGGCGGAGGAATCGAACTCGGGTCGGCCATGTTGGCCGCTTGTAAGGCGAACACCCTACCACTGTGACTTGAGAAAGACAGAATGGGAAGCTAAATTAAAGAATGGGAACAGCATACTGGTGACTCAAAGAAAAGGGCCATTTGATATGCACTTAGTCAGATATAGAACACCCCCAGATTTCTTTATCACTACAAAGTTTAGATTCCTTTAACTTCTCACTTTTACTTTTCAATGATGCTGCTGGGGCCCAGCCATTTAGTCACACCTGACAGTGCTCTGGTGGCTATGCAGTGCTAGGGATCAAAACTCAGTGCCTCATGCATGGAGAATTTGTCCTTCAGTCCTCTGAGCTATTTCCCTGGACCTCATTATGGTCATCTCCCTTATAATTGCCTGGTCTTAAAGTTCCCAAACACAATGAAGAACTTCCCACAGAAGCCCAGGAAGTTTGTAGACCTTACCAAACAATTACAAAGATTTTTTTTTTCATTGCATATAACTTGCCTTCTTTGGACTCATCATGGCCCCCAAAACAATTGTCTTCACAACCAGAAAGTCTACTTTATAGAGGACTTTAAAATAAGCATATTCCTTAAGGAAGAATTAAAAAAATGCAAACCTTTACTGGCTCATTTTTTCCCATTTTGTCAACTCAAGGCGATGATAGATATTGTCCAGTGTTTACCATCCCATAGTAGTGGTGTTGGGGGGGGGGCCTCTGCTTACCCTCTCAAAACTCTCGGGATTGACACCACCTATGGTGGTTCTGAGAAGAATTTCAAGAGTGCTTTTGTTTTTGTTTTTTTGTGGAGGTTGGGGTTAACATGTAAAGATTACAAAGAAGTACTCTATTTTTCATAAGAATTTTTGTACATATTTACATGTATACAGAATATATGTTCCACTTGAACAGTTTTGTAACTGCCTTGGTGTACAAGTGCAAATTATTTTTCAGTAAAATACACAGAAGAAGGATCATTGGCTCACAGGACATATGCATCTTTAGCCCCAGGAGATAACAGCAGTTTTCTTGAACGGTTCTATCCATTTCTATACCCTCTTCAGTTTAAGAACTGCTGTAGATTTATAAATACAAATCTACCAAGATTCAGTATTATCAGACTTAATATTTTTTGCCAATTTGATGAGTATGGGTAATATCTCCGGGTTTTGCTTTTTCTACTACCTAATGAAACACTCTTTCTGTATGTATCTTGGGAATTTGGATATCCTCTTCTATAAACTTAATAGATTTTGAAAACATGGATCAGGGAAATGGTGGCTTAATACATTTTTTTCTTGAGTAATCCATGCCTTGCAATTGAAGTATTTTATGCCTATATTTTACAAATATTTACTGAAGACCTCCCTATTTTTTCCATCCTTCCATTTCTCTCAAAAGTATTATGTAGAAAGCTATTTCTGAATTTTAGTTGTGGTTACTAAAATTGCTCACATGTCTGTTTTACTCGGTAGATATTTGTGCCTTACATTAATAATTAAAGCAGTCATTTTCTTCCCAAAATGAGTATGATTTTTACACTGAAAGGAATGAGTTATCTTGCGCTTCCTTAAGGTCGTTTAAAGTTTAATTAATTTAAAGTGGAAAGGTAGATGATTTAAATTCTAGCTATCCTATTTATGCATATAGAGAAGAATTGGTGTATTTACAGATAATTATGTTCTTGAATTATAAAACAACTAGTAATTTTCCTGGTCATTTTTGTCATGCTCCCAAAGATCCCTGATGTCTATGATCCGGAAGCGATCCCATCCCAGCGGCAGTGGTGCTAAGAAAGAAAAGGCAGCTCAGCCGGAAACAAGTAAGCCTCGTCCCCATACGTTTTCTTTCTGCCGGTGACGGTGTTTTTGTAACACACGTGTTCGTTGAGTCCTTTGATGGTAGTATGTATCGTGGGAGAAATATGAAGAACTTTATAGCCGTAAGAACGGGCCAGGTAGCCATCATTGCTTTTAAATTGCTTATTATAGAGGGTAAGCATCCACCCGCATTGCTGTAAGAGGAGATATGCTTGGGAATGTTTTTTTCATTAAGGGAACAAGGTACTTTGGGTCTAAAGAAAAGAGAGGAAGTAGTTCCAAAGGAGAGATTAGGGGAAAGGCTTTGTAGAGTCGAAAGCCAGTGAACCGAGACTTTTTTCAGGCACCACTCCCTGGTACCCCAGTGCTATGTACTGGAGGTGCTGAGCGAGGGAGACGGGAAGTAAACAACTAATTATCAAATTAAGCATTATTTAAGTGCAATTTTTGATCAGTGGAGAGGGAGTGCACATTTCTAAGAGATTACGGAGGTGGACTGCTGGGAACTGAGAGCTGTGAGTGGCTGTGGATTTGGAAAGTGTTCAGGAGAAAAGCAGCTCCTTGGAGGAGCAGCAGAGTCAGAGGTCCCAGTGGAGAAAGAGACCTGGGCATACTGGGAAACTGGAAAAAGTTTCAGATTACCTGAACATGGGGCACAAGACAGGGGGGGGGGGGGGGTCTGGTAGGGAACAGGTTCGGGTTCTATTTCTGAAGACTTTGATCAGGATCTTGAAATTGATTGTTGGAACAGTGGAAGTTTTAAGTGTGTGTGTGTGTGTGTGTGTGTGTGTGTGTGTGTGTGTTGGGGTTGAGGAGTAGTTATAATGAGATTTGTCTTTTTTTTTTCTTTTTTGGGTCATACCTGGCATTGCAGAGGGGTTACTTCTGGCTCATGCACTCAGGAATTACTCCTGCTGGTGCTTGGGGGACCATATGGGATTCTGGGAATCAAACCCGGGTTGGCCACGTGCAAGGCAAACGCCCTACCCACTGTACTATTGCTCCAGCCCCGAGATTTGTCTTTGATTGATTAATTTTTAATAATAACATCTTCAGTGGGCTGGAGCGATGGCACAGCAGTAGGGAGTTTGCTTTGTATGTGGCTGGCCCAGCCGACCAAGGTTCAATTCCTCCCCCACACTCAGAGAGCCCAGCAAGGTACCGAGAGTACAGGTACCACGGCAAAGCCTGGCAAGCTACCCGTGACGTATCCAATATACCAAACACAGTAACAAGTGTCACAATGGAGATGTTACTGGGCGCGCTCGAGCAAATTGATGAACAAGGGGAGGATAGCGCTACAGGATAGTGCTAGTGCTACCATCTTCAGTGAGAGAGAACAGAGGATGGATAATAAAGGGATGAGAGTGGCAGAGGGGCCACAGTCAGCGTCCTTAACATCAGAGCTGATGGAGATTTAGCTGAAGGCAGCTAGCCGTTGAGTCCCAGGGCTGTGGTTCATTGGCGAGGTAGGTGCTGAGGATAGCACAGAGAGGCCAGGAAGGAGGAAGAAGGACCTGTCCCTTGAGCCGAGGCTCTGGGATCCTAGAAGTAGAGCCTGTTGACCAGCTATGGGTACAGCTCAGAGAAGGCCAACAACCAAAGCCAAACACTAATGTTAGAACATTGATGCCTGAGAACTGTCAAACCCAAATTAAAGTCAGAAATTCAAGCCAGTGAGGCACCAGCCACAGGAGATGGACCCGGGTCAGTCCCATACATTCGCAAATGTTTTCTTGCATCTATCCTGACCTCAGAGTTTCTGTCTTCCCTTGAACCCTTTTTGCATCACTGGGCATGCGGTCTTTTGGGGTCATAGTTGTAATCACATTTTTTTCCATCATAGGACATTTCCCTGTTTCTCCCCGCATCTGAACAGAATACAAGCACTATAGTCTGCTTATAGACAGTGTTTTCTGCTTTTGCTTTATACTCAGTGTTTGTGGCAGCTGTCCCACCTGTGGCTGGACCATGACCTCTGTGCCCCCTCAACATTTGCTGCTGTCTTTCTTCATGCCGGAATTGTCCGCCTGCCTTTTTTTCTTCAGGTGAAAGCTTTCTCAAAGCAACGCACTAGTCTAATCCACGTCCCCCCATACAGGTTCCAGGAAAATTGTGTGTTCCTGCTCCTCCTGGCCCTCCACTCATCTATTAGTAGTCCTATTAGTAACGACAAATAAAGGACTTGTTGCTCCCTGTGTGTTGCTAGAGCTTTTTGTTTCAAATCTTATTTCAGTAACGTTCCAATATCCCACCCACCAGCTTCTGCTCTAGTGTTTGTTTTGTTCTCTTGCTTAAACAGATTGCAAACCCTTTGAGTGTTTGGCCCTCCTACAGCTTCCTTGCATATTAAATGAAAAGAAATTTAGATTTGGTGTTTATTATCAGGAACCTCTGAGCACCATGACAGACTAAAGCTGTTTTGTTCATCCCTAAGCATTGACTTTCGTGCCTATTTCCTGCAGCCCGTTGGAATCTATTCCTCTGTGTGGTAATAGGACTGAGAGTCCTTTTCTTCTTTGTGGAAGGCATGACAGAATTCAGAAGAGTCACTTGTGATTTTCAGATCAACCCTCCTTCTGGTTTTCTCCCTATATAAGCCTTCCTGGACACTATACATAAAATGAAAAGATTTTGTTTCCATCTTATTTTGGTACAGTTGGAAGATTTCAGAATAAAGTGATTTTTCTCTTCTAAATGAATTTCATTACCAGTTTGTCAATTTCACAGTAACATTCAGTTAAAAAAAATCTGGAACTGACAAGCTCAGTGTTAGAAGCTATCTAATTTTCCATATCAAAGTGGTGTTTTCTTTGCTATTGACTATTCATAATGTGGAATTGTTTTCTCCTGCCTCCTTCTCTATAGGATTGGACATTGGAAATCTAAGTAGAGTGACTAATAAAGAATTTGCTCAGGAAATTTCAAGTTTGAGTGATCTTTGGCTCCCCAGAGCCCAAGAAACTCTGTATCCTAAAAGACCCCATTTGCTGCTAATCACAGGGATTGACCTCTGGGTTCCCTGAGCACCATTTGGGAGGATTTTCCCTGCTGCGCCCCCATCCCCAACCACCCTGCCTTAAATGACATATAGCACAAAACCCCTCCTTGTGTGGCAGGAGTGTTCGTGAAATTTTCTGCAACATGAATGGAACTATCGCTGGAGTGATAGCACAGCGGGTAGGGCGTTCCCCTTACAAGCGGCCAACATGGCCGACCCGAGTTCGATTCCTCCGCCCCTCTCGGAGAGCCCGGCAAGCTACCGAGAGTATCCGATATGCCAGACACAGTAACAACAAAGTCTCCAATGGAGACGTTACTGGGCCCGCTCGAGCAAATCGACGATCAATGGGAGGGCCTTTACCTTTGGGCTGGAGCGATAGCACAGCGGTAGGGCGTTCGCCTTACAAGCGGCCAACATGGCCGACCCGAGTTCGATTCCTCCGCCCCTCTCGGAGAGCCCGGCAAGCTACCGAGAGTATTCGATATGCCAGACACAGTAACAACAAAGTCTCCAATGGAGACGTTACTGGGCCCGCTCGAGCAAATTGACGATCAACGGGAGGGCCTTTACCTTTACCTTTACCTTATGAATGGAACTAGAAAATGTCATGTTAAATGAAATAAGCTAGAAGTACGAACACAGAATGATTTCACTTATATGTGGTATTGAGAATAACTGGATGAGGAAATGCAGTGGTTTAAAGGGGGATACCTGGATTTCCCTTGGCCTAAGAGTTTAGGGAGGAGAAGAAAAGAAATAGGGTGAAGGGAAAGAGAAGAGATGGATGAGAAGCAATGGGGGCAGGGGTTGAGAAGATTCAGGTACATCGGTGGTGTTAAGGAATGATAAGCTAAATAGCCATACCACAAAGTCAACAACTGAAATCACGAGACCCAAACTTTAATAATCAAACTTAAAAGATGCCTGTCAAGATGGCAGACTGTGACTGGGTGGGGTGGGGGGTAGGAGAGGCAACCTGAGAACACTGGTGGAGGTAAGTTGACACTGACGGTGGGATCAGTGATGGAACATTGTATGTCAAAAACCTAACTGTGAATAAGTTTGTAATTCATAGTGCTTTATCGCAATAAAAATTTTTGGGGCAAAGTAAAGATTGATGAATATATATGTGTGTGTGTATATATATATATATATATATATATATATATATACTGCTATATACTGATTAATGTATGATGAATCAATGTAGAGCATCAAACCTTGGAATCCACTGTGACATTTAGTTTAAACTTCTAACACAGACACCAGTCTCTGTCACTGTGCTTTCTTATTTTAATATCTTTTTATATATATTTGGTATATTTTTACAGATCTTGTCAATGGAGAAACAATTATTTTTCATTATGTCTCTGGAAACGTTTGTTGGGGAAGGTCTATGGAGTATTTTAGAACTAAGTTTAAGGTTTGGAGATAAATTTTTACAAACTTTGAGGTTGCTATCTCTAATTTTAGTAAAAAATGCCCTCATTAGCTAAGTTCTGCAATTTTAGAGGTATGCCTGATGTTTCTCTTATGTTTAGGTGTTTGAATGTCGATATTTTAACCTCAGTTTGCTAATGTGTAGAATGGAAATAGTGGCCAGTCTCCCTTCCTGCAGCTGTTGTAAGAGTCAGCCAGTCTCATGACATGTTAAGTATGTAGACTATTACTGAACACATAGAAAATATTCAAAATGTTAACTAGGAAGAAAAAGGGACAATGTTCTAACCCTACTTTGGTGAAACTCATTCAACCATAGTGCATTCTTGAGAAGTTCTGTACAGTGTGGCAGCATAACATTTTTTAAATGACTCATTTTCAAAACGGCAGTGAAAAAAAAAAAGGAATCCTGTGAAATTTAGAAACCCATTTTAGTTCCTCTAGGTAACAAGGGTTTACTGGGCAACAAAGAGACTGCTCTGTATTTTTTTTTTTAAGCTAACTTATTTTTCAGTTGGGTCTTAAATTTTAAGCTTCAATTAATTACATGTAGCTTTACAATCTAAGACTGACCTTGAGGTACTAACTCAAAGAACATTTGATTTTATTTTCCTGTGGCAGTTCAATAACATTAGACCTGTTGTCTTCATTTGTCCCTTTTCTTAAATCTCCAGTATCCTGCATATTTCCATTGTCCCCATGATTACATGCTTTTGTAAGACAATTACCAACTGGGTTATTGCAGAAAGAATTACAAAACATACCACGAACTCTCTGTAGGTGATTCTTGCGGATTTATTAGAACTGCTTACTAGTTTAGAAGTTCATATAGATTGCTTTTTGCTAGCTCAGAAATAAGGGTTGGGTGAGAGAAAGCGTGTGTCACTAACCTAGCATTGCCCTTATATTGTGTTTGAGTGGGGAATTTGAGAAGTGTCATTTCTTTTCCTTAAGACCAATTAAGCCTTTACACTACAAAAAAGACCAAGAAACTAACGTCTGGTTTATAATCTGTGCACAATCGAGATAGTAGCACTTCTCTGAATTATCACTATGTTTCTGGCAAGCCAATATAAGCAACTACTTGAAATTCCTGCTATGTTAGATGCTGCAGCAGACTTGTATGGTGTTGGCCATAATTCTCCATCTGTCTGCCTTAATTAGTTTTTGTATGGTACATTTAATTGGGTTTCAGTTCTTCCTTACAGAGTACTAATCTGTTTGTAGGCGGTGTTCCTGTTTGCCAATGCATCTCTTCACAAAATGGCTACCTTTCTGAAAATAAAATGCTCTTTGAAGATTTTTTTTTTAATTCCCAAGAATAAGTTCCGTATTCATACGACTAGGTGCTTGCATGACAGATTTTGGTTTTAATTTTTTTTTACTTCAATAGGGTTAGCAAAAGCATGATGTAGTGCTTGAGTAGATATTCAGATATTGAGTGAATAGAGCAAATGGACGAATGAATGGATTTTTGTACTTTCCTTACCTGTCCCTGTATTGATAGTTTGTGAGCTATCAGCAGAAACTGCTCCAGAATATGTTTCTTAAGGGGCCATGATTGATCAGCCTCATTTGTGTGTTTTGACTTAAAGGATAAGTTCTGATTTTGGTGTCAAGTTTTCCATACTCTCTGCCCACTCCCCCACCCCAGCAACACCCCCCCCCACACACACACACACATCTTTTTGACGTTTGGATCTGAAAAATGTAATTTGAATAATGAGAAATTTTAATTTCCAGCAATCCTGAGGCTCGAGAAAGTACCTCCATTAGTTTTAAATTATATATTTTTAGATAACACTCTTTGTACTCAGGGCCATGTTGGAAAACCTAGGTGATATGATAGATGTAGCAGTGGTCCCATCACTGTGGTACTGCTGGAGATGAGGATGATGAAAGTTTCTGGCCTCTTTTAGACACTCCCCTGCATGTATGCATACAAGGAATAGCTCTCTGGGGAGAGTGAGGTCTGACTGTCTAGAAAAAGGAGCCATGATTTAGGCCTGTAACACAAAGCCTGCCATTACTGTTAATTAATTAACTAGGGAATATGGGTGTGATTGGCTTCATTTTGAGTCAGTCTTTTGAGACTTATTTCTGCTAAAAGAATAAAAAAAATGTCGATCCTTTTAAAAATCAATGTTAACAAGTCAGTCTGTAGATAGGTGTTTGAGTGCCAGGCAATGGTAGTGTCTAGTTAAGATACTAATTGGAAGGTTTTTGTAGAATTAGATGGAAGAAATACAAGAACTAGAACTGCATTGATAGTGATCAATGTTCTAAAATTGGTTCAGTGTTTTTGGTCAAACTATTCTGCAAAAGAGATTTCATTTCACTAGTCTGGTCAACAGATTTAAACCATACCCAAAGCAAACAAAAATGAGATTTAACCTATTACCACTTATCTTTTGACTGAATTTCTTAGTCCAAGGAAAGATTTCTTGGATATTTTCTTTTGGGGGCAGGAAAGGTAGACATATTTAGTATTCTCAGGCCTTTTTCCTGGCTTTGCGCTCAGAGATCACTCCTGGTGGGTTTGGGGGACCATATAGGGTGTCAGGGATGGAAACAGATTGGTCCTGTGCAAGGCATGTGTCTTACCTGCCATGTTATCACTCTGGCTCTATGGATCTTTTATTTTTTAAATGGAAATTTCATAGTTCTTCCTTTTAAGAGCTGAGTTCTTTGATATTCTCTAAGTTATGAAAATGTCTCTGAGGCAATTCAAATGGTTATTTGAAATTAGGTATAAAGTCGGTCTTTTACGACCTGGAGAAATTCAGGTGACGAATCATGCGAACAAAATGGAACAAAAATCTGCTTTAATTGTTTAATGTAGAGGTGTCAATATTTATTATCGAGCTAGAAAACTTTAGTCTTTAAATTTTGTTAGGTTAAGGTTAAGGTTAAGGCCCTCCTGTTGTTCGTCGATTTGCTCGAGCGGGCCCAGTAACGTCTCCATTGGAGACTTTGTTGTTACTGTGTCTGGCATATCGAATACTTCACGGGGAGCTTGCCAGGCTCTGCCGGCGAGATACTCTCGGTAGCTTGCTGGGCTGTCTGAGAGGGGCAGAGGAATCGAACTCGGGTTGGCCATGTTGGCTGCGTGCAAGGCAAACGCCCTACCACTGTGCTATCGCTCCAGCCCCTGTGCTATTCTTATTTTTAAAAGCAAACGTTCTATTAAAATGTTTTTGTTTCAGAATATCACATGACAGTCTTTTTTTGGGGGGTCCACACCTGGTAATGTCCTGACCTGTTTTCAGAAAACATTATAGGCAGTGCTCAGGGAACCATATGAGATGGTGGGCATAGAACCCGGGTCAGCCATGTGCAAGGCAAATGACCTACGTGCTGTACTATTGCTTCAGCTCTCACATGGTAGACTTTAGCCTCAGGAATTCATTGGTGCTCTATGACTATGTGAAAATTACTATGCTTAATTGCATAGTATAATCTTTCTGAGTTACCCAAAATAGAAAGTAGGGTTCTGAGGGTTTTTTTTGTTGTAGTTGTTTTGATTTTCTTTTTTGGTAACATAAGATGAATTTTTTTTCTGTGTATTTTTTGAATAGCTGAAGAAGTCACAGATCTGAAGAGGCAAGCAGTTGAAGAGATGATGGATAGAATTAAAAAGGGAGTTCATCTGAGACCAGTTAATCAGACAGCCAGACCCAAGGAAAAGGTACAGTATGATTACATGGTTTATTTCTCCTTGATGTTTCTTTTTTGAAGTGCAAAAATTTGAAATTTGATGAAAACTCCATCAAGACATCCAGATTTTAGGATGAGACTAATGTATCATAAAAGCTTTTGCTTCCATTTCAGAATGTTTTAGGAGATTCTTTTTGACTTGTGTAAACCTAAGACACTGTAGAAAGTAAGGACCCTCCAAATGGGCCATAGCTGTTGTTTCCCATAATTTGCAGTTCCTTCATATCATTCAGCGAATATTTAGTGAGTTTATACTATGTGCTAAGTATTGCGTTAGCTACTAAAGATCAAGTGGCAAATAAGAGAGACAAAAATCCTTGTGTTCCTGAGGTTTTCATGTTTGTGAGTAGAGAAAAGGGGAACATATAAATAATGCCAGTACACACCCAGGATAGTTTTTGAAAAATCGATTTGTATGATTGTTGTTTCTTCAATTTCACAAAACTATGCCACGTCAGTTCAAGAATAGTTTATGCACATATATCATTAGTTGTCTTCTGGACTGGTCTATATATGAGCCTAGTCCAGGATATTAGAGACAGTGAGAACTTCTAGTATTCTTCTCCCTTTCCTTTGTGTGTGTCCCATTTAAATAGACCCAGTGAATGAATCTTGACTCTTTTTTCTTGGAAAATGCTTTTATTTCTAATAAGATATTATCATAGTTTTTTTCTCTCTTCTTCTTTTTTTTTTTTTTTTTGCTTTTTTGGGTCATACCCAGTGATGCACAGGGGTTACTCCTGGCTCGTGCACTCGGGGGGCCATATGGGATGCTGGGAATTGAATCTGGGTTGGTCGCACACAAACACCCTACCCACTGTGTTATTTCTCCAGCCCCTCTCTCTTCTTTTTTTTCCCCCCTCTTCTTTTTAAAAATCAAAACTTTATGTTCTTGGGGCTGGAGAGATAGCACAGCGGGGTGCATGTGCCCAACCCAGGTTCGATTCCCAGCATCCCATATGGTCCCCTGAGCACCACCAGGAGTAACTCCTGAGTACAGAGCTAGGAGTAACCCCTGTGCATCACTGGGTGTAACCCAAAAAGCAAAAAAAAATAAATAAAATAAAAATAAAAAACTTTATGTTCTTTTTGACTTTCAAGTATGCCTCCTTTTGCTTAATGTCACCGAGTATAGTGACTGTTCAGTACAATTTTTCTGAACTTTAAAATATATCACTTTGTCATAGTTATCACTATGGCCAAACAAGACAGAGATCATCTGAGTGTTGGCCGTTCAAAGAGGGCCTGAAAGAGGTAAAGAATACTCAGCCTCAAGAGTAGACTTACATCTCGTGAAACGGGAGCTTTGGCCAGCCCTGTAGAGTGACTCAGTGTCATAAAAAATGCTCTGAAAGCAGTGTTCGAGTAAAGGGATGAGGAACAGGAAGAGAAGCTGAGAGTAGGGACCATCTGGCACAGCCCTTTTGTGGCTGCTGTCTAGTGTATGCATGAAGAGCCTGATTCTGGGGATCCAGGCAGACCCAAATTCCCAGACTTTTCTTCTCCACAAAAGGGGGATTGCCCCTGCCAAATCCAATGCACAGGGCTGTTGTCAGGATTCAATAGAATAAAGTTTGAAAACATTTTCAGGTGCAGGGGAATCTCTGAAAAGAATACATTTTTTTATGACTCTCCTATCACAATAATTATGGAAAGAATACGCGAAACCAGACTATTACTAGAGGAAAATGCAGTGTCATAAAGAAACAGAATTTGTTTAGGAAGAAAAATGTGGAAGAATTCTTAAATCATGAGCAATCAATGTTGCCTATGTCCTTCCGTTTTTCAGAATATCGCTCTGTTCTTTCCTCTTCCCCCCCCCCCCCCCTTTCTTGCCACAACTCTTTTCCACAGTTACACACTATTTAATGTCAATTCAAAATCTGGAAAGCAGCTGAACAAGGATCAGTGGACGACTGGGTTTTTCGCTGGTAATCATTAAACTGTGTAGACGTAGCGCTGAATGGCCTGGTCAGTAACCTTTAGAACAAATGGTCACTGCATGCTTGAGTTCAGACTTCTTCCCCCAGTACTATCAGTGCTTTCCTGACATATCACAAGTTATGACTAAGCCATCCGGACTTCAACAGGCCTATGCAGCCAGAGGCAACTTGAGTGGCAGGCCAACCTTTTGACTATGCCTTTGGCCAGGGCATTCAGTCAAAAGTCACCTGAACAGCTTGTCTAGAAAGGTCAAACCTGCTTTGATGATCCTTGATTAACTGCTAATTTTCTAAATTCCTTGATGTTGGCAGTTGTACTGGTGTGGTTACAAGTGTGTGAGCTTCTGACTGGCACTTAAGACAGGCACTGATGGCATAGAGCTATCAAACAACCTACACTATGAAAGTTGAATGCTTTCACCTAACTTTTGCATGAGCAGCAAACCTCTCTCTTTCACACTGTCCATGGTTTTCTGGTTTTTTTTTTTTTTAGAAAAAAATATTAGAATGGAATGCTATTCCCTGTTTACATATTGGATTATAGAGGATTCTCTATTCCTATCAGCTGTGTCCCATTTCTTGACTAGAAAGAAATGAGTTATACCTCTTTTGAAGGAGTATGGCTTCCTTTGACAGTGCCTTGTAGGGTCTGTCCTCATCTCTGTCCTTTGTGAAAGGTATCTAGAGGAAATCAGAGTGTTTTGGGGGGATCTTCTTTTTCATCAGTTCCTCATGCTTCTTAAAAACCAGGGGTAAGATACACAGAGATTGCTATGTACTGGGGTCAGACAAATATTGTCCAGAGCTTCATTTTTCTTTCTTTCTTTCTTTTTTTCTTTTTGGGTCACACCTGGAATACTCCTGGCGCTGCATTCAGGAATTACTCCTGGGGTGCTCTGGGGACCATATAGGATGCTGGGGATCGAACCTGGGTCGGCAGCGTTCAAGGCAAACACCCTCCTGCTGTGCTATCACTCCAGCCCCACAGAGCTTTATTTTTCAATTATTTTATTCATGGTGTGGCCAGAAGAGAATTGAGTTTATAATCCAACCCTCACACTCAAATACTAGCTTCCTCGAAGTGAACAATCCTAAAGATAAAGCAATTGGACCACATACCCTCTGAGTGCCTTTACTTCAATAATACTGATTTTAGACACTAAGTTTTTTATTGGTCCCTGCTGCCAGCTCAGTACTGGTGAGAAGTTCCGGAAACGCTGGGCCAGTCTTCCGTCAACTGGCCTTCTCCTGGAGCTCGGGGATCTGAGAGAGGTTTCCTGCCCTGCCGCTTGCTTTCTGCTTTGCTGCCTTCCAACTCCTCACTCTTGGCAAAAGTATAGCCCCGCACTTAAAGAAAAGTTTCCTTTGGAATCAAATCTTTGAAATCTGCTGTATACCTTTTTTTTTGTTTTAACAGAGGATAGCAACATATAGAACTTGGTAGCTTGAGTCATTTTGCTCTGAATAGTCCTTATCGTTTTGCTTAAATGCCGCCTGAGAGCACTAACATGTCTCATAGTTTTTCTAACCTTAAGACATAGAATTAATTTTTTAAAAGTAGCCTATAAAAAGAAGCCAGCACGTTGTCACATAAATATTTTTTGTGCAGTATTTAAACCTGAATTACTTGGTAAAATTTTTTTCTTTTTCTTAAAATTGTAGCTGGAATCTTCCAAAGGCTCTGAAAGTGCAGTGAATGAACTGAAAGGAATACTGGTAAGATTAGCTTTCAGTGGGTTATTTAATTAATGGGTGAATGAAAAGAGGATGTTTTAGAAATCTTTTTTTTATTACTAATTTCTTTCGGTAATTTGTATTTCCATTTGCCATACTCACATTTATTTTGATTGTTTACTTGGTTGTAACTCCTTGGCATATGTCCATAATGTAGCAGTCCTCGGCTCTCTTCTAAAAAGAATGGTTAGAAGTTCACTGTAGTCTTTGTTTCTTGTTCTTAACCCTTGGTCTTTGCATTATTAGAGCTTGGAAACACACACACACACACACACACACACACACACACACACACACATACAAGTAGTTGGCCAGGTGTGAGGACCAACATCTGTTTATGAATAACACATACTGTGATCTCTTACAGTGATAGTATTGAACTTGTTCATGGATGTGGGAGCCCCTGGCACCTCTGCAGGGTTGCATGCTGCCGGACTCCCGACCCTGGCATTGAACTGCCAGCACATTGGGTAACTGGGAGAGGCCTCAGGCCTCCTGAGAGGGAGACTCCCACCCCAAAGGAAAACAAAATAAGATATTCTTTGATGAAAAATTGGAGCATAAAGTAAGAGTCTTTTCTCTCATTTTCTAATGGTAATTCCTATCTGTTGGAGAACATGCTTCATGCCCATCTCCAAATCATATTTCCTTTTTCAAAGTGTGGGCTGGAAGGCCCTCGCAGAGGTGCTGGGGATAATAGTTGGTGCTCTGGCAGGTAAAGCCAGTGAGTCCAGCCCTCTGAGCCATCTCCCGAGCCCCCCAAACGTGGACTTTTGCCAGCAGAATAAATGACTATTGCCCTGTCCCACAATTGCTGTCAGAGACAAACGCCTCACTTAGGAAATGTTTCAGATACTCAGAGCTTTATTCTCAGATCCTGTTACAGTCTCAATACCAGTTATTATGCACAGTAAGTCGACAAACATGGGGGCGGAGGTACAGAACTAATATTCCCATGTTTGTTGTTACTGTGCTAATTATGCATTGCATGTAGACATCCATATAATTGTGGTAAACAAAATTATTTTCATCAAGCACGGAACAGTAGATTTAACTCACAATAGCGTAATTAGTTTGCTTTCGTTTTAGGTAAGTGGAATTAGTACTAAGGAGAGGTATATCACTGGCTAACAGTGGTGGTATACCCACAGAATAAAATATTAAGCCATTGGAAAAGTAGGTGTTTATTCTTTAATGGATTCTTTGATGAGAAAATTTTGTTAAATGGAATTCTCTTAAAAAAAAATTACCTAAGCCAATCTCTTTTTGTGGTCTCTGTGTTAGTATGTGAGTTCCAGTTTGTGAAGATGTCTCCAAGGGTCCTGGAAGGTTCTAGATATCGTTATGATCATCAGTGAAGGCGAAAACAATACTGAACTTTACTGTTTAACAATTACATATATTTTTAATATTCAACATCTATATGACACATGTATATATTTGATATATATCAAAGATTATTCCACTTGATAATGCTGAGGGGTGATAAGTTTGCTGAATTGCAACACTGCTTTTAAATATACTTACTGTATGGTCATATTGATTATGATTCTATATCACTTCAAGGAGAAAATTCTGTGAAATAAATTTGGGTGAAATTTGAAGATGGTAAGATTTTAAAGAACTTTTATTTTTCTCTCCCCCCCTTCACTTGAATTTTTCAATCAATTTCTTTGTTATGTTTTGGCAGTAGTATTATGTGCACTGACTTAATTTTTTAAGGGAATCTCATGGCGCTTTCCTCACAGTCTTTGCCAAATGTTAATTCTCTTTTATCCCCACACACATTTCCTTTGAGAGATGGTGGTTTGTTTGTAAGTCCTAGGCATTGAGACCAAGAATTCATACATTTTTGTAATGGAGGCCAAGTGAGATGGTACTTTATCAGTGCTCCTGGTTGGAGTGCAGGGCCCCAGCAGGTCACATGATTCACAGCTATGTGTCTGAGAGTCAAACAGGAAAAACCAGGAAAAGCATATGGATAGCACCTTGATATGGAAAGTGAACAGAACACCTGTGCCAGGAACTCATGTTCAGTTTAATACAGAACAAAAACCAAGAATAAAGGCAGTTTTGTTTTCTTTTCCCAAATTGGAATGGGCACTTAGCTCTAAAGAAGATCTATGGCTTTGAGTGTTGACTTATTGATGCAAGTGCTCAGGGTGTAGGAATTGCATCTCTGGTTTTGAGGAGTAGGAATAGACCTGTGTTATTTTAATTGTGTGGGGTTCAAACCGGTTTTTTAAGTCTCAGTGTGGAGTGAACTCATGCTTTCCAGATTTATTTGCTCTTGCATTTTTTTAAAGTGTCTATTTTGCAGATATGAAAAACTGAATAACTGAATAATTAATTTCTCAGGGTCAACGCAAGGGTTTTGAAGCTTGGGAAACTTGTTGAGTCACCTGAAAGTCTCTGTGAGGAAATGGTGACCTTGGGAATGTAAACTAATGTAAATAATAAAGATCCGTAGCCTCTTCTAAAATTTAAAGGAATGAAAGAAAAAGTTTTTCGAATTCTCTTTCAGATCTTTTTTGAATGTTCAATTTTTCATGGTACCCAGAAAAAAATGTTCGGTATTTAAATTTTGCCAGCTGATAATTATAATATTATCAGTGTTAAGTTAAATGGTCTTAACACCATTTAACTATCATGGGGGCTAATATTGATTAAGGTAATTTGACGTAGAAGTGGAATGCTGGGGGCCTGGAGAGACAGTAGAGTGGGTGGGTCACTTCCCTTGGCTGCTGCTGACTCAGGTTCGATCCCCAACTCCCCATGTGGTCCCCTGAGTCTGCCAAGAGTAAGCCTTGAGCACCCCCTAGGAGTGCCCCTCCCCCCCAAAAGAAGTGGAAAACTGGTGTGTGAAATAGAAGAACTAAAATCAAGGTTCAGTTCTACTGCTGATTTATTGTGGGACCGACCCCAAATTTAGACTCAGTGAGGCTTTCCTCTCCCCCTCTCTTTAAAGGAATTATATGTGCCAAATCATTTCTAACATTTCCTAACCCTCACACCCTATGATTATATGTAGATAATTAAGAATCTTGGTGCTTCATTAGCTGAATTCTTTGATCATGATTGTTGAGAGTCATGCAGAAACCTTCCTTTCCTTCCTTCACAGTTTAGAGTTTATTTATGGATTAGTTGAGTCAACCAAAGCAGTCCAGTGAATGGAGAAAAATTTATGGAATTTAAACAATAGAACTAGGAAAATGATTTATTTAGTATCATTTGTGCTAAGAATGTAGCTTGCCGTAGTCAAGAATTTAGGGAAAGTAATGTTCTTATCCAAATGAAAATAGAGAATACTACAGAAGAGAAATTCTTCAATTAGACGTATCCTTGGAAGATAGAGGTATGTACAGATATACGTACCAACACACTTATCTTTTCCTTGGGTTGACTCTAGCCACTTTGAAAATCACACAATACCATTAACATTCAAAAATGGTAGTAGTTGCATGAACTGTTTTAATAGTAATGGTCATAAATCTATTTAGAGGTGATATGACTGGTAAGTTTTTTTTGTTGTTGTTGTTGTTTTACCACATTTGGCAGTGCTCAGGGCCTACTCCTGGCTCTGCATTCAGGGATCACACTTGGCAGGCAGGCTTGGAGGTCATTATGGGGTGCTAGGGATTGCAGCCCATGACTAATAAGTTTTTAGAAGTAATGAATCCTGAAGCTGGAGTGAGATTGCTCAATGGGCTAGAGTGCATGCTTTGCCTGCAGGAAACCTGTGTTCAATCCCGAGCACCACATATGATCTACCATTTAAGTGCCAGGAGTGACTTGCAGGCTGGGAATCGCCCCAGAGTACAGTCAAGTGTGACCTCCAAACAAGACTCTGGGAGTCATGACTCACAAAGGATTTGGGAATCATTTCTCTAGGTAGTTCTTTCAAATTTGTTTAAATTGGCTTTAGTTTTCTGTTGTTTTTTTTTTTTCAATCTCAGCAGAGTATCAGCCCTCCTGTCTTACAGGAGTTCCTGAGTAGACAGAGATCTGCACTGTTAACAATAAAATAAAACAAATCATCTAGTTTGTTTATTATAAAATAAGTTACTATAGTGTTATCAATGATGTGATTTTTCCCCTTTGAATGTATTTTATAAGTTTTTTATTTTGAAAAAAGCATAAAGAGCTTCTTCACAGGGAGTGCAGGGAATACCATATGCTTGAATAAAATCTGAACCTTAGTGAAGTATTTTACATGTCAGTTTGGTCTGGCAACTACCAGCAAAATAATATTGTTATTCCATTTCTCCCTTGACAAGAGGCCACTTTTCTTTGTAACTCTAACTAGTTGTCAGGGGTGAAGTAGGGTGGGGAAAGGAATCTAATGAGAACTTTTCTAAATAAAACACTAAAAACACCTAAGAGTTGTCCTTACTTGATTTTACAAACTACCTTCTTTGTTTTATAGGCTGAAGAAGCTACATGAGATATTAGTTTTAGGCCATTGGAATACTTAGATCTTTGAGAAAGCTGGCAGAGGGCAGAGAGCAGAACTAAAACAGCCCTAATCAAACTTAAAACACTGCAATTGTCAGCTTGGTTCTTAGCCTTGGTTGACAAAAATTGCCTGTTTAATTGTAGCCCAAAGTCCAACAGGTTTTAGCAACCTTGAGGTTCTGAACTGCTCTGATGAAAAGATAGTGGTTCTCCTGGCTTCTGTTCCCCAGGACTGGAGATAAGAGGCAAGACCACAGGTCTCCTTCCATGACATACTTCCTCGAGGAGCCAGGACAAGAAACCACTACCTGGGTTCTTTCTCTATTGTCTTGAAAGCCTGAAACCCAGTTTCAGGAGGAGCCCAGCTTCTTGGCTTTTCTTGTTTATCCTTCGGTGTCTTGTGAGTCATGAGAAACACATTCCTATTGCTTCCATTATTAGGAAGGATGGAATTGGGATCCCAGGCCCTTCCTTGCTTCCATGGATGATGATAACCTCTCCTCTTCCACACTGAAGTCTAGATTCAGTGAAGCGCTTCTTTGTAGGCCTTGGGAAGCGTTATGTGTCTTCTTTGGCATACATGACAGCTTTGTCACCAGGTATACAACCAGGGTTATTCTCCCTGAAGAATCAAACACATATTTTGCAGTACCATCAGACTTTGGGTTCAATAGCTCGTGGCTGCCTTCCCAAGAAATCCATCTAAGGTGAGTTCAATGTATTGCTTCCCTTCAAGCGATGGATCAATACACATCAGAATCTTTATCATCATCACTATGCAAGCCCCTTCCCATCATCGAATTTCATACGCTTAGCTCATTGAGAGGTGTTCTTGTTCAGTTCCTTTGATACGGCAGCTCACAACTTACATCATCATTAGTTTCTTCTTAAAGGATGCAGCACCTTGTGTGATCGACGACAATGTATATATGTATATAGCAACTTTTTTATTTCCTAATCCCACTCAAATTCTGGTAATGTTTTGGCTGTTTTGTTTTGTTTTTTATGTTCTTTTACATATTGTATTGCAGCATTAACCTTTTTGTTTCTGTTTTTGTTTTGTTTTCACTTTAGGGGACACTTAACAAATCCACTAGCTCAAGAAGCTTAAAATCCCTTGACACTGAAAACAGTGAAACTGAGTTAGAAAGGATTTTGCGCCGCAGAAAGGTGACGGCAGAAGCAGATAGCAGTAGTAAGCTGGTTTGAATTCTCCACAGCTCTATTCTTCTTCTCTGAAACTCCTGCCTCTATGTCCTTTTTTAACATGAAATGGCCTTTGACAAATTGTTATTGAATATTTTTAGTGTGAATGAGAAGTATTGTATGTACAAAAGTACTTATGAATATTTTCTAGAAACTCTCCCATATATTTTTAAAAACTGATTCTTTTTCATTGAAACACCATGTTATACACAGTTACAAAGTTGTTTATGATTGAGTTTCAGTCATGCAGTTTTCAACACCCTTCCATTCACCAATGTACGTTTCCCTCCCTACCATGTATTTTTATGTGTTGGTATATTTTTATGTTTGTAGGCAGTCGGGCTTTTTAAGATCTGGTTTGTTTAAGCAGAATGTCCTGGAGTATAGACTGTGCAACTGGGCTTTGGTCATAAGACTGCAGAACCAGAATCAGACTTTGTATGTGAACCCAAGTTTTAATGTGGCATATGAAATATTTTCATTTTAGTCACAATGAAATTTGATGATTTCAAAGAGTAGATTATTTTAAAAAGTCATCGCATTCTATAGGAATGATGAGAATCACCTATTTTAATAACATATATCCAATGTATCACTTTAGGGAAGTTAGAATAGGAGCCACATGTTCATTCAAAGGAATAAATAATACTTGGTTGGAAAAGTAATTTTGCTATTCCCAGAATATACAAGAAATATATGCCAGTGGAGAGACTTACAATGAGCAGAACTTTTCTTTTGAGTTCCTAGTAGCCAAATACAAACAAACACACAAAACGGAGAAAGCAATCTTCAACTCTCACCACTGTAGCACTGTCCTCCCATTGTTCATCGATTTGCTCAAGCGGGCCCAGTAACATCTCCGTTGTGAGACTTCTTGTTACTGTGTTGGCATATTGAATATGTCACGGGTAGCTTGCCAGGCTTTGCTGTATGGGTGAAATACTCTCGGTAGCTTGCCAGGCTCTCTGAGAAGGGCGGAGGAATGGAATCTGGCTTGGCTGGGCCGGTAGTGCACAAGGAAAACACCCTACCACTGTGCTATCACTCCGGCCCACAGTGGAGATGTTACTGGGCCCGCTTGAGCAAATTGATGAACAACGGGAGGACAGTGCTACAACTCTCACCATTTAATTAAAAAACTATGTGTATGTGTACATACACATATACACATACACATACACATATACAGGACCTGAGCAGGACCACATTGCCGGGCCTGAGTACTAAAGCATCATTGGCTCATTGGACTAAATATTGATGAGAGTGACCTGAGGGCCTGAGCAGTGCTTGGGAGCCGCCTTCCCCAAAATACCATCTTAAAAGGATGATACATATATTTTACCATGATCAAAATGGAAGTATTATGGAATGACAAAGTGAAAATTCTGGAGAGAATCACTGTATCACTGTCCTCCCATTGTTCATCAATTTGCTCGAGCAGGCCAGTAACATTGTGAGACTTGTTACTATGTTTGGCATATTGAATACGTCACAGGTAGCTTGCCAGGCTTTGCCATGCAGACGAGGTACTTTCGGTAGCTTGCCAGGCTCTCCGAGAGGGGCTGAGGAATCGAACTCGGGTCGACCATGTTGGCTGCGTGCAAGGCAAACGCCCTCCCCTCTGTGCTATCGCTCCAGCCCCTGGAGAGAATAAGAAATTGAATAGCACAGCTGCATGGTAGGAGCAAATTAGAGATGAGTCCGATAGGTTTGTGCCACCATTGTCCTTGAGTCTCTCTAGTCTGTTTTTGTCCCTTTGTACATCAAGGCCTATAGTATAGCTGAATGTGAGGACACAGAGTGAAGGAAGGAAGCAGATGCCAACTGAAATTTGTAGAACTCAGATTCCAGGTTAGTTGGTAGGTATCTACCCCTCCACCCTCACTCCCCAAGCCCACCTCCAGGCCCAATAAAGCAACCCTCTTTTTCTTTCAAATTTTGTCACAGTCCTAACTGAATCCCTCTTGTTTTCCCTAGACTTGTCACCTACCAAACTCCTATTTTAAAGAGCTGCAAGTGCCTCTTGGAAAATATTGGGCAGCTTAAATAGCATGTAATAATCATAATAATACTCTTAACTATTATGCTTTTTTCTTTATTTCTTTTTGTGTGTAAGAAAAATAAGAGCCCGGGCTTAGTTCACCCACTCTGTCTCCTTTTGAATTGGCTTCAGTTGCAGAACAAGCAGCAGGCATCAATGTATTCAGAAACAGATATTGCTTTCCTACAAGGACAGATTATTTAACGCTATCTGTGTTCTTGTCAACAATTATCCAAGGGCAGAGAGAGCTGCTCTGAAGCAAGTCTTGAATTTGACTTGATATTTTAGTTTCAGAAATGTCCCTCTCTCATATTCCTACAAACCCCATGCAACACAGGCTTAATATTAGTGGGAAGCAAAGGCCTTTTGACCAGACTACTCAGTAATATCAAGAGCTTGTCTGCCTACGTGGTATAGAGGAAATAAATGAAGATGACAGTCACTGGTTTTTTCTTTGTACTTACTGGACCACAGGGGTTTTGTCCTTCCCCCAAGGATTAAGGTTAAAGGACATACACCAAGAGGATGCCAAAACCATTTCCCAATCTCCTCTTCAAGAGGTTTTTCAAATTAGAGCTGCATTTTTGGATTGAATATGTTCTATTTGTTGTGATATATCACGACACATTCAAAACCAGTTTCTGTTTTATTTTATTTTTGGACTACACTTGGCAATGCTCAACTCCTGGCTCTGCACTCAAAAATGACTTCTGACAGTTCTGTGGGTACCATATGGGGTGCCGTGGATCAAACCTGGGTCAGCCATGTGTAAAGCAAGTACCCTACCCACTGTAGTAATCGCTCTGGCCCCCTAATATACAAATTTAAGAATAAAACTCTGCTTAATACTAATTGGTATTAGTTGGGAAAGACTGGCAAGCTACCGAGAGTATTCCGCCCGCACGGAAGAGCCTGGCAAGCTATCCGCTGTGTATTCGATATGCCAAAACCAGTAACTACAACTGGTCTCATTCACCTGACCCTGAAGGCTTCACCGACATGGCAGTACTGAGAAGGATGAGAAAGGAGAGGCTGACAAAATCTCAAGGCCGACCTAGGCTGCCACAACGAAGGAAGACAAAAATGATTAGTTGGGGATTATCTAGCATATTTTGCTGATTTGGACTTCTCATTTTAGGAGATGGTCTGGTATTTCTTATGATCAATCCCAGTTGTATCCTCTGAGTGGCCTCTCTTGCTTAATCTTTACAAGCTCCAATTTTATTTGTATATTATTGACTTATTTTTAAGTTTCTGTCTTAAAAGAATTTCTTCTGAAGTTTTTAGAAAGACAGAGTAAAATCTTGCTGTGAAATGTGTAAAATATATTCCTAACCAAAGACTGAAAAAAAGTACTGATGGCAATTAACATCAGCCTAGAATTTTAGAAATGACATGCCAGTAACTTCAGTACCAGGGCCTATTATAATTTTCTCCCAAAGAGCAGAAAAGTCCGAAAGATAAACAGCACAAATCTTTGCCACTTCATTTTTATAATCCTAGTGTATTTTAAGAGGAAATAAATCCACTTACTTCTCAATCACATTAAAACAAAAATGTTCATAAAAGCTGTTTAATGCTCAAGAAATCTTGATGAGAAGCCTTTTTTTAAAAGGGGCTTATTGACATGGTTCCATTTTCTGTTTAAAAAGCAAAGCCGAGTTTGGGGAAGAATTAACTCTTGAGAGGCCAAATGGTTCAAGTGTGGCAGTTAGAAAGCCTCACTCTATGGGGAATAGTGTTCTCCAATCCAGTATTGCTAAGGACATTGGTCAGTGAGGGGGCCCTGGCCAGGGGTTTTGTGGTTTCTTAAAGGTCTGTTCACAACTTCTCAGCATGGTCTTGATACCCTGAAAAGCAGAAACAAATTTCCAATAGGAACATTTTTCAGCTTGAAATTTTAACAGGCTTGGCCTTTTCATTTCCTAAGAGATTTTCTACTAATCTGTTTTTCAGCACCATATTAATAAGCATCACACAGAATTATTAAACTTGAGGTATGTGTTTGGTTTTAAGGTCCAACCGGGATATTAGCCACCTCAGAGTCCAAATCCATGCCAGTGTTGGGTTCTGTATCCAGTGTAACAAAAAGAGCCTTGACCAAGAAAACTCTGGAGGCAGAATTCAACAGCCCGCCCCCCCCAACACCTGAGCCAGGTGAAGGGTCCTGTAAATTGGAAGGATGCACAAGTTCCAAGGTTACATTTCAGTAAGTAATGATGCTCTTTACTAAGTAGTGTGTAGAAGAATCGCTGATGACTAACTTGTGTGTTATTTTGTTTTCCTTCTCTGTCTGTTGATTTTTTTTTTAATATTTGATTAGCCAATAAACACTCTTCTTTTTTGAGGCGCCAACTTTTAAATCTAGGCTTCTAGCTGAACGGTCTTCTTTGGATCCAGAGGAAATAATGTGTAAAGAGAATTCCTTCCCTAAACTGGTTTAGTAATCAGGTTCTTCTAAACAAGAATTGATGTGGATGATAGCTTATTCAGCATCAGAATATACTTAATCAGTCTTTCAAGATTGAGTGCATTGATCATTCCTTTTAATGATCCAGAAGCAGCTGAAGAAGATGCTAAATCTTCCAATGTACTTTGACAGATACATTTTTACAAACTTATCCTCAAAGATACACCTAAATATTTATCTATCCTGGAAATTGACATATATGGTATAAAGACTTATCTGTAGAGATTTGCTTGAATCAAGTGGCACTTTGATTGTCAAAGAGTTAATCCTGCTATTGAAGTGTTTCAGACAGACCTAGTAGAGGATCAATTTGTTTTATAACAATGGAAAGCTCTTTTTGAAATTAGGCTCATTTTGCTTTAGTTCTTTTGCCAGGTTGTCAGCTGGTTTGTCACTTAAAGAAAAGGAAGAGGTGAGACAAATCAGATCAGCTGAATATTGTAATCATGGTTAATTAAACCCCTGATTTCCTCTTCTATCAGGAGAGAAGGGGCCTTTTTTCCCCTTGCTCTACTTGTCTTAGTTTAAAAGGTAAAGCTTGGACAAATGAAGTTGAAATTCAATTTAGATCTATTTTTGCCAACTGATATTTTCTTCCACTCTTGCATTTCCCACATTGGTACTATTAACTATTTTCTCCCCCTCTTTTGGAATGAATGGTCTTCTTTTCTGATTTACAAAGTTTTATCTCGTGTCATTGTATTTAAAAAGCACATTTGCTTCTGCAATCATGTTTCCTTTCACAAGAGTCACTCTAACAGAAAGATGATTCATATTTATGCTTCGTATTTCCTATTAAATTTGCTTACCACCTAATTTGACATCAACAATCTCATTACATTGGAAACAATATCCAGACGCAAAGGCACTTAGACCGAGACAAGTTAGTCTGAGAAATGCTTCTCTGTGTGTGTGTGTGTGTAGATTTTTTTCTTCTTTACTGTTTTATACAGATAATCTTAATCACAAAATGCTGCAACTTCTTTCTCCCTTTGTCTGCCTTTTATTCTCCAAAAGTAAGTGAATATTACATTTCCAGGAAAGGAAATGAAATAATTGCAGGCCCAAGGTCTGCAAAATGTGTGTAGAATTGACAGAGAAAAGGATCTGTGTGTTGACAGACACTGTCGTTTGATGACACAAAGGCCTATGTGAAGCTCAATCTATTTCTCATTTTGCTTGTTCAATGACTGCTTAAGAGACACATTTCAATTTAATTTATCTGCTTAAAGCACTAATACAAATACTCCTGCTGCTATATTAACTTTGAAACTTTGTAACCTAATGCTTGATTATTCCGTTCTTGACATTCTTTTAGCGAAAATCATGGCATATTTTCTTATTGACGGTCATTTAGCTTAGCTTTCAGAAAACTTTTTTTCCCCTCAAGTACAGGGAGGCTGTACAAAATGAATCCAAGAATTCTCTGTGCGTACATGGGAATTATTCACTTCCCAGAGAGGCACACTTCATCTACTTAGGTTTATTTGTGTGAGATCTCTCCAGACGATGTTTCAGAGATCCACTAGGATTACTCTACACGGTGCTAGTGCCAGTGTGGAGGGCACACGTGGTGCCAGAAAAACAAGTCAGAGCCTAGTACATATGAGGCACATGTTCCACCCCTTGAGCCACATCCCTGGGCCTATTCGCTGATTAAAAACCCAGTTTTTTTAATGAGTAAGAGAGGCTTAACTTAATGTAGTCACATGCTTTCTATGTAAGAACTTGTGATGTGTTAAGATCCCTGGGGACTAGGTGCTGGGAATGGGAAGAATTCTTTTCAGCTTTTTTACCCACATTTTAAAAAAATTAAAGCACCATGACTTACAAAGTTATTCATACTTGTCTCCACCAATGTTCTCAGGTTCCCTTCCCATGTCCCTTCCCCGCTCCAGTCTCTCGACAGGCACCTTTCTAAGTTTGGTTGTTAAAGTTTGGGTCTCTTGATTTCAGTTTTGTTGACTCTGGGGTTTGGGTAATTTGGCTCCATCATTCCTTATCACTACTTTCGTACCTTATCGTCTGAACTCGCCCCCATAACTTCTCATCTGTCTCTTCTCCCCCTCCCCTCCACTCTTGCTTTCCTTCTCCCTATATTCTGGGGCCAAGGTTGATCAGGGCATCCCCACTTTAGAACACTGCATTCTCTCCTCCAGTTATTCTAAATACCACATATAAAAATATCATCCTGTGTTTATCCTTCTTCTGGCTTACTTCATTTAACATGATATCTTCGAGTTCTATTCGTGTTGCCATGAATTGCATGATTTTATAATTCCTTACAGCTGTGTAGTATTCCTTTGTGTATATGTGTGTGTATGTGTGTGTGTGCACATCACATCTTCATGATCCACTTGTCTGTCATTGGGCATCTACGTTAATTCCAAATCTAAACTCGTTTACTAAATGTTGCAATGAATAATGGTGTGCATACCTTCTTTTGAATGAATTTGACGGGGAAAGCAGAGAGAGAGAGATTTTGATTTGGGGGCAGTACCCAGTGGTGCTCAGGAGTATTCCTGGCTCAATGCTGAGGAGTGACCCCTGATGGTGCTTGGGCCAAAATATGCAGTACTTGGGATTTAAATCTAGATCAGTGGAGTACAAGGCAAGCCCCTATACTCTCTCCCCCCATCCCCTCAGGATCTCTTTTGTCTGCCTTTGCCTCTTAAATTTACTCTGTTATACTCGCTATAAAGTAGAGGCAGCTACATTAATATTATCTCATTAACTTGAATTAACAAAATATTTTGAAGTCAGATCAGCTTTTTGAAAGTGAATTAATGTCTTTGCTATTTAAAAATCTTTGCGACCAGTAATTGTACTTTATTTTGGTCTGTAGCACTTAGTACTTTTAGGAGAGTTGCACTATCAGCCCATGATAATTTCTCTTTCCTTCCTCCCATCACTTTCATCTCTTCTACCAGGTCTCATTCCAGCTGAGTCCTTTACTTTTGCTACATGCTCTACCTAGTATGTCTTTCCTAAGAAGTTACATGAGATATTAAAGTTATCTCTCACTTCCATTAATTTGTTGTTCTAATGTCACCTCTTCAATGAGACCTCCCCTGAAGACCCTAGTTTAAATTGTAGCAATTATTTTCCTAAGCTCTGAATCTCCTTAATCCTACTCCATTTCCTCCTGCAGAAATTAACTTCTAACATATTACCAACTTTATTATATTTACTGCTTATTATTTTTCTTTCCTTTGTAAAATGCAGGCTTCATGAAGGTTGGAATTTTTTCTGTTTTGTTCATGGTGTGTCTTAAATACTTAGAGCAATGCCTGCCTTATAGGTTCTCAATAAATACTTATAGAGTCAGTGAATGAACAACTACATTTCAGTATCAATAAAACAGTAGAATATCAATTAGAATACTCAATTTGTAAGCACCCCTCCATTAACATTCACACATATAATAAGCTAGACAGAGGTTTGAGCTGGTTTACTTTGGCTTTTACATGTTTCCAAGCCCAGGAGTCATTCAATCTTGGATATATTCTGCATTTTTGTGCCTATGCAAGGTAAGTGCTCAGATATAATAGAACACTCTTTTGAAGAAAAATTTAACCATCCTAAGTTGACGGTTTTCAGGTGAACAAGAAACTCTGCTAACCTAAAAAGGGGCTTTAAATGGAGGATATTTTCTGCATAAGATATTAATGAGAAAGTAACATCAACCTGTTCTCTTGAAAAATTCTTAAAACCAAAGTAGGTATATAGTCTAAATAATTGAGCAACTCATATCTATTGAGCCACAGATGCACAGATTTGGGTCCTAAGACTTTTAGGAGAAAGCAAGAGACACCTTAATTACCTAGTGGCAGCGATCAACTAAAATTAACATTGTCATCACCTAGGATGGTAATTCTTGAAGAAAAAGGAAAACTAAAGTAAATAAGACTATGAGTTTTAATTATAACTTTAGAAACATTTGTGTCCTCTTTAGTATATACTACTGAGTAATAATATTAAATCTTTAATTAGATTTGAATTAATTCTAACATTTATAATTGAGATCTTATATATTTATCTTTAGACTCTTTCTCTGTGCCATGAGGAGCAAGAGCTGGCCAAGGCAATAAACGGTGTAAACTGGAGTTGTGCTTGTTGATTTAGTTTAATGTAACAATGCTAAAATTGGCTAAAGCTCATTGATTCAAACTAATCAATTGATAATCTGGTCAATATGAAATAGAGAAGATTCTGATTATAGAATTTTTAAAAGAGAATTGTTTCCTTCAGACAAATACATTGCTGAGAACCCAGGCTTACTCAAAATGTTACACTCAGACTAACAAAGTTGAGATTAATTTTCACCAGAAAAAGTCTGTAGGCTGAAAGGGCAGTAACAGGGAAACACAGAATGATAGAATGATCAGTTGCCTAAAGCACTGCCTTACAGTACCTGCATGGAAGCAGAAACATCCTGTTATTTCCAGAATTCAGTTCTATAGCCAAAAAACTGGAGTTCAAATCTTCCGTTTGACAGGCATTGTTATTATTTATTTATTTATTTGTTTGTTTTTGGGTCCCATCCAGCAATGCACAAGGGTTACTCCTGGCCCTGCACTCAGGAATTACTTCTGGTGGTGCTCAGGGGACCACATGGGATGCTGGGGATCAAACCTGGTTTGTCTGTGTGCAAGGCAAATGCCCTACCTGCTGTACTATCACTCTGGCCCCCAGACATTGTTATCGTCATGACCTGGGGCAAGTTATTTATTCTTTAG